TTCCATAACTGAAACCTGCAGACTTGAGGGATCCCAAGCACAGCCTCTATTCATTTTCCACAACTGTGCTAGAAAAGTCATTACTTCCAGTTTTATAATGGCTCAAGACAAAAGTAAGGACAGGAAATCAGCATTGCTCAGAAAAACAATGTTCTTTTTTTCAAGAAAAAAAACTTGACTTGCAGATTTGCTCAATTTTGGCCAAGTACCTGTTCACAGAACTCAATCTTTGACAGCAATTAATGGGAACACATCACTTTATTCTATAGCTTCATCTTAATACATATACACAGTTGAAACACTGCAGCCCAAAGTGCTTTGAGAACTGACAGCCCACGAGTTCCTCCATAGTTATTATCAGCAGCTTGGGGGCCTAACTCTGCTAGGTGAATTGATGCAGATGGAAGACTAGTTTGTGTCAACGTAAGTATTTTTACATGCATTAAAGGCTGTTACACACAAAATTAGCTTACACAAATTGGTCTCTTACTCACAAATCCCTTGTCATTTTCCTATTATACGTACACTGCATTGGGATTTGCGGACAGAAGTTACTCAGTCTTCATAAAAAGGATGTTTTCAAAGATCTTAAACTGAAATTCAACTCCCCCAGTTCCTAACCATGTAAATCTGCTAAAAAAATCTTGCTAAGCTTAATTGCTTAAGTCAATCTCAATTCAGCAGAAACTGACTGAAAATACCATAGAATATATACTAAACTCACTATACACAGATCCCTGATCTTCTGACAAGGCAGAATAGCAGCAATGGGTAGCAGTTATAAGTAAGGGCTCTTGCATTGTGCTTCCAAACTCCCCTCTGCTCCAACTCTTCCATCTGTTTAAACATAATAAAACACTCAATACTGCACACACAAAATGGAAGTCTCGTATGGCAGGCAACCTTATGTGCGAAATACAGCACTGAGCAGACTGAGATCTCAGGCGTTTTACAATCTCTATTATGAAAACCAAATCATATTGCAGCCATTTCCAAGTGTCTGATCAGCTTCTGAGATCTCAAAATACCTTAATAAAACGTGCAACTTCCAGAGTTTTAACCACTGGAAGAAATTACACAAGATGTAGACTGCCTCAAAGCATCCCAAAATGGGTTAGATCATACTGCCAACTCCCTGGGACACGTAGGACAAAACCATCCAAGCACCACAGAACTGTCTGTTCCAGAAAAAACAATCATTGTTCCATAGTTTCAACATAAGAAACCTAAATAATGACAGTAATGCGTCATTAAGAGCCCAGCACATCTCTACTGCTGGTTATCCAAAGGGAAATGCAGCATAAATACAGCAGAATGCAACGCAAGAGGAAGTGACGGTGTGGTGAGCTGGATAGCAGCTAAACTCCTGGAAGCACGAGACAGCGGTAACAGCTTTTACCCTGTACAGACTTATTTCAGACGCCCTCTAAAAAGCTTTGCATCCTCCTCTTAGGTCTTAGAATTACAGCAAAAAAAAGGGATTTAGAGGATCACCAGAGGCCTTCAAGAAACATCCTTAGGCAAGAAACCAACTTGTTTTCAGGGTGCGCTACGACTGCCGCATCCACCAGATGGGTTCAGCACCACATCCAAAGAAGAGAATCCCGTTTGCTGTCCGATCAGCAAACCCTACGCAGTTGAAACAGTTCTGCATGGAAGAGACTTACAGAACCAGAACTTCCTGGTAATTTAGAGAGCAGCAATCCCAGATATTGAATGAGACATGGGACACAAAAATCATTCAGGCCTTTAAGAATTTGCTAAACCCCCTGCACCGCAAACAGCCCTCAGACAGGAGCAGGGTCTAACAGACTCAAGGCAGACTCAGCAGCGAACCCAATAATCTTCTAAACCAGTGTTACTCTAAAATCTCATAATTCACTTTCTTTCTTGGAGGCTTCCTTTCCAAGCACTAACCAGACTAATTTTATTTAGCTTGCAAAATCGGACAAGATCACAGCCTGCAGGGGAAAGGCTGCCGTGATAAATATTTAATGGGCTACATCAATAAAATTCATTTTGCCAAGGAGAACGGAAGGAGAGGAAAAGCTGAGAAATAATTCATTAAAAGAACCTCGGCTTAGCAATGCCAGGGAAAAAGCCAGGCTAGAAAAAAAAGGAATTACATACAAAGAGATTTTATATAGGTCAGAAGCTTAAGTGCTCCTAACACAGGGCAAATTGACAAAGAGCAGAGTTCCTCAGAATGAAGTACAGTGATATGTATACTTAATAGTAATTCATCCTATTGAAAATTAATATTCCTGGATACCCTAGTAACAGTTTCAACTTCTTGCTGTTGGTGAGGTTGGATAATATGAATACCTTTTATCATCCAACCTAAGACCTGCTTAGTACATGAAAGTTACACTGCCTAAAATCCATTAAGAAACACAACAGGGACCTTGAAGTGTCTTTTACTTCTGAAGGCAACAGTCTCCCCTACTTTATATTGGATGGGGCCATAAGTGATGTCTTCCAGAAGACAAAAATGCAACAGCAAGAATTAAGGTATTTAGTACAAAGCTTAAACATTCTTGTTCTGCAGTGCTCCCCATACCTCAGTGCAGAGCTTTGTATCTGCAACATACAGCATAGAATCTGCAAGGAGAACTGTTTAATCCTTCTTTCCTGCCTGCCAATATTTGAAACCGTTTGCAGTGATACAAGGAGTATGCACCACCTCTTCCATTTAATCTCCTGCTCCATCCAATCCGGACCACTGACAACCAGAGGTCAGCACAATGGGTGAGGCAGAACACCAGAAACAGTTGTGTTTACATTAACTAAACAATCCCAGGAACACAATATTCCAAATTCCAATTCTGCATTTCCATTCCTACATCGCTTTGAGTCACTGGATTTGGGATTACTTTTTTATTGGATAAACTGCAGAAGCACATACTGTGCAAACAGCAGCAGAGTCTCAGGACAAGCGGATTACATGGTAATAAAATACTCCACAACTGCTTCAGTGAGATATGATAAGAGATAACACACTTTAAAACCTGCTGTGTCAGAAGACTTTGATTTAAAAGGATTTAAGAGTTTTGCGGGTGAAGTCACATTACTTAAACCTCCCGAATGGCGAAATACAAAGATTATTTTAAAAAGGCAAATTGCGTCAATAACCACAACCAAAACCTCACTCCTCAGCAGCGCTGGCACAGGACAAATGTTCAGCATCACGAAGCAGTCAAGTCTTCACGTAAGTGGTTAAAGGCTGCCCTCTAGTGAAGGCATAAAACGGTTTCAGCATCCTGGCTCTTGGATGTTACTGTCGAAAAAGCTCCCTCCTGAAGTGGACAGACATTAGTCACAACTTATTCTCGAAGCAGGATTTTCATTGTAGCAGATTACTTACCAACTTTTTGTTCATGTGTTAAAAATGTAAAAGAGGTAGCCACTTCAGGACCAAAGTGATCAGAAGCGTTGTATCTGGCAGCAGATGAAGACCCGGCAACATGAGCTGTAAAGCAATCCTTGCTAAGTGATCCTAATGGTATCAGAATTTCACAACCGATTTAAAAATCAAGCATGATGGATACTCAGGATGCTTTGCTTTCACAGAAAGAATGGGGTCTTCCTTAGGAATGAATTCCATGTTACATACCAGTTGTTTTTTGTGACTCTTAGGAGGCACAACTGAGGGTGGTATTGCTCCCATTTTGGTTTAGGCTGGCTTTAGGCTACAGTTGGCCCAGTAAGTTGAGCTGCACTACACCACCAGCATTACCAGGGCTTCATATTAATTTTCTCCTCCAGCCAGCAAGATACTTCTCCAACGCAGACTCAAATGAACACAGCTGATGAAAAAGCTCAAGCTGAATGCATGGAGCACAGGTTACAGTTTACACAGAAGTCATGTTTTCTGTTTCAGCACTGGAATACTTCATACGCTTATAATAACTGAAGACATTGAAGTATTTCTTTTAGACATTAAGCTTGAATACCAACCATTAAAATCTACTTGCTTACACAAAACATTGGAGAAAGTTGAAACAACTTGCCTGAAAATTTATCAGGTACATTTATTAAGGAAAAACATTCAAAAAAGACATGTTCTATTAATTTATTTTTTTTTTAGCTTCCATATAAAATAAAAAATTAACTTGTTTGATTTTGCCAGCACACACATCTGCAGGTTACAACACCTAGGGGAAGATTAGTACAGAGAATTTAGTTAGTATCTGCCAGTTAGCCATCACAACATGCAGAAGACATGCTTCCAGTCTGACCGAGTTTAGCTTTCAACCATTAACACATTTTGGGGTCTAACAGAACTACTGTATTACTGTCAAGGCTCCAGGTCTTTCCAGTTTCCCAAGAAGAGTACAATAAAATCCTGTCTGCACACAAACTATGATTCAAACTTCAGTAATTTATGTAACCTAAGCTGGAAAGTGAGCGTGGTCTCACGACTTCAGAACAGCATCAAGCCAAGTATCTGCCAGCCTACAGCTCTTTTTAACAGCAGTGCCTATGAGTTTGAGTTAAATATGTTAAGATTTTTAACACTGTTGTCAACAGGACTGAGCAGCAGTTTAGTTGAACTACCAACTCCCTGTAAAAGTATTATTGGAAAAGCAGAGATGGAGAAGACAGCCCTCACTCCTGCCCATCATGTGGAGCCTACTCCATGAGTGCTCCAGACAGAACAGTTTCGGATTACTCAGTATCAAGAAATTCTTACTGCCAGATATAAAAGAGTGGAGGTAGCAAAATCAAAATAAGGTTCCTCAAGACAACGTTGTCACAGTTTTAATGCTTGTACCTCAGTTTCTGGTTCATCTTCTCCTCTATCTTCTAAAAATCTGAATAATGTTTCAGCCTGAAGGGAAAAAAAAAAAAAAGTTGAGACATTTAAAATTTTTCAGTAACCTGTTGAGTGAACAACACAAAGAAGCAACCACTTCTTCACTGAGCCTGACCACCGCTCACAGGATGGCAGAATGGGTTTTGAGGTTGGCAGGGACCTCCAGAAGTCACCTGGTCCACACCTCTGCTCAAAGAAGGGCAAGAGATAGCTGCCCTGGGCCATGTTCAGATGGCTTTTGAGTATCTCCAAGGATGGAGTCTCCACAGCCTGAGCAATGTGTGCCAGCACTCAGCCACCCTCCCTCCAACGATGCTCTTCATTCTGCCTTTACAACTGGAACAAAGCGATGGCACAGATGTTAACACTGAAGCATAGATCATCTTTTAATCCTCTGAACTGTTTTTCTCATGGGAAGAGCACCCAATATCTGCCTTTCTGCAGCCTATGAATTTCAGAAAGGGACAATGACTTCTGTAGAGATGTCTGCAGCAGTATCCTATATTCAGCCAAACAAGCCTCACTCTCCAGAAAGGAAAGCCAACTCTGCACTCAGTAAAGTCATCAGGTAAAACTCAGTTCATTTGTCAAACCTTATCTACCAGTCATCTGCCCCATCTTACAAAATACAACCACGTTATCCGGGATTAATGAACCTAACTTAGTACATACCTAAATAACAAAGCTTTGCCTTTGTTATTTGCTATAGAGAAATAGCCACTTCTGGGAGAAAAGTCCATAGATTGAGCAAGATAAATCTGTTTTCTTCTGAACACTGGGAAGTTTGAGAATACAGTATACGAAGGAATGTGTACCTATTGAGAAACAGGTCATTAGTTACACCAATTAGGAAAAAAAAACACTAAAATTCATATTAAAGTACAAATTTAAAATAGAAGGTCAATGTTAAGTTCAAATGTTCGGTTATATTCCTATCCTATATCACTCGCATATAGAGTTCTAGAGAAAAGGTGCAGGGAACACATTCCAAAGCCAGTTATTACAACTCATTTATTTTCAAGTAATTACATGTAAGCAGTAAAATATGCTTCCAAACCCTCAGATTAATTCAATAGTTCCACTATTGTCTTGAATTCTGACAAGCATGGCAAAATTTTGAATAAACTATGGAAAACACCACACAGTAAGCCCAGTTAACAGCTGCTGAAAATTCACGTTGTATGCTGAGCTCTATTTACACCACTGAAATAAAGGCATTCTTAAAAGGGAAAAACAAAAGGGAAACTACACCATAAGATGTTATTTTCAGAACAACTTCCCTGAAAAAAAAACTTCATTATAAATGTAAGGTATCTTGTACATGAACTGATACGCTCTGTCTAGCAAACTGTGCAGTCCATCTGCTCTCGGTTATCAGTTTTGTCATGTCACCAGCAACATTTCTGATCAAGATACAAAAAGCTTGCACTAAAGCTGCACATACCAGTTTGACAGCCTCATCGGTTTCACGGGAAGCCACTGCCAGGATTTCTGTGGTGGGATTGAAGGTCACACACGTAGCAGATGTCACAAGGTTCATTATGGCTTTGACTGGCTTAGGACGGTGTTCTTTGAGACAGCCATCGGTAGTATATAAATTTACAACTCCAGAAGCTGAACTGCAGAAAGAAATTAACAAAGGCTGTATCAAGAAAACACATTTACAGCACATACTACCTTGTTATTTATAGTCACATATCCAATCATTTACTGAAGTTTGTAACAGTATTTTGTGTGGATCTTGATTTTGCTTTGGAGTTTATAACAGTATTTAGTGGAGTTTATATTTGGGATTCTTTTTTATTTATAAAGACACATGCTTAAGTGTGGAGAGCTTTGATAAGCCCATCTCTTTCACAGCATCAATTCAACGCAATGAGAGCTTGGTATCAAAAGACTCAAAAAAAATCAAAAGCTTGAATCTTTCAAATACCCTCTAAAGTTCATGTAAAATTCCTCTTCTACAGTGGACTAAGAAAATGCATACTGTACTTAATATGTGCTAGTCTGATTTAAAAGAATCCTTGCGCTAGTTGAACTTGCATCTTGGTAAGTACATGTGGGAAAACACTTTCAAGCTCGTGGCTTGAGTTGAAGCATGGTTTCAAATGCTAACATGCTATCTTGCAGAAGCCAAATTAGGAGCCTAGAAAAGAGAACTAGAAAAGGGGGAAGAGCCTCAATCAACATTTGTACTACAGAATTTGTGATTTCAGTCAGTATGATTTCAAAATTAGCTTCTAAAGCCATATATGGCAGCAGTAATACATTAGGAGTGATACTGGTGGTGTGCGTTATGGTATTTTAGATACACACAGAACAAATTAGGTTATTATCATAAAAGAGGCAATATTCATCTATTTACCTCTACTCTGACCTTATAAAAACAAACTTCTTTCATGTTTCCACACTCTCACCAGCCACCAGTAAGTTTACCGATGAACTTCTAGATGAAACAGGAGGAAGTTGTCAAATCCATGTCACTTACCCACATGCCACATACTGGTTATTTTTTGAAAGAGCGATGCACTTCCCTTCCAAAGAGCCTTCATCTTCAAATTTGTGTAGACACTTTCTGCTTCTCACATCCCAAATGAAAACTTCGCCTTCCTCTGGTTGCAGAACAAATCAGATCACAGAAACCATAGAGAGAGAACACATTTGTTGTCTGTTTTGTTATAATGAATTTCATTAGATGACAACTATTATCTCATTCATAACTATCAAATACAGGGTGTTTAAAGAAACAAAAACAAACAACTAAAGGCATACTAAAATAGTTAACTATTATTTAATAATTGATCATTTGGTTGTATTTTTAGGCCAGATACTGGCATAGTCTTTTAGCCGTCTTTGTAAAACAATGACTTAGAATAACTTATGCAACTTAAATAGGATTATGATTAGTGATGTTAGAGAGAATACTTACTTGAATAGCTATATACTTTACTGCTGTCTGGAGTGAAAGCTGATGCAGTGCATCTTCCATTTACTTTCATAGTGCTAATCAGCTCCTTTGTCTACAGGATGAACAACAATGGTAACAATGATTCTACCAAAAATCTGTAGTAAAGCTGCTGCCATACTCCTGTCCCACAAAAATACTGAGTTAGCTACACTGACATTAAAAGAACAACATCAACATTTTCAGTGCCTAAAGACCAGAGCACAAGCCCACGGTCATGAGTCCACGCTCAATTTGTTATTGCTCCATTACAGAAATGAGCATCCTTTTTAAGAAGTATTTTTCTTAGTAAAAGTTTAGAACGAAACCAGCTGTCATCGTATGGCATTTTGAAATTGAACTGAAGAAATTCTGTATGCATGATGAATCACAGTAGATGGCGTGATTCACGAACACAGTATATCGGCATGCACTAGTGCTGCTCCCAAAAAAGCAGTCTTATGTTTCTCCCACCCTCAGTTGCCTGTTTCCATGCTGACACCATTCCTTTTGCCAGCACAGTGTTCGTGCAAGCAGCTGACATACAACTGTTCCCAGTGATAGCTTAAAAACCTGTCAAACTCTGGCCTTAGCTACATACCTTAGTCTCATACCTTTGCTTTCACCAAGAGCTTTTAAGATTAAACATAACTCATCAGATTCAAGAGGGGAAAGATACCAAGGAAATAAAGCTACATGAACCACGAAGAGAAACTACCTTCATTGACAACAAGTGAAGGTAGCCTGAAGTTCCAGTTACAAGCATGAATGATCCATCTGGAGAGAGTTCGAAGCTTCTGAGGAATCTTTCCTCCACACCTTTAAAAAGAGATTCAGAACTTCAAATGGGCATAATTTACTTTTTCCTCAACTTTCAAAGACACAATGCATATGGATAAGACTGCTTCAGCTTTTCATTTCTGCAGTACACTGTCACAGTAAAGCTACAACTCAACTTTGTTTATGTGCAACAATTGGCTTTTAATATCCCAGATTAAAGCTACTGGTACACGAGTAGAGATCCCTGAAGACAAGTTAAAAATACAACCTCCAACAATTCACTGCATTTCCTTTTAAAGCCAATTCATATCCATCTCTATTTGAGACAGCTTCAACTACACCCAGACTCTTACAGCACTATGAAACGTACCTCTTACTTTCTGTATAGGAATGATATTTCCACTCATCATGTCATACACAAAGAACATTCTGTGGTGAGTACCAGTGGCTATAACATGCTCTCCATCAACACTGAAGCAAGCCTTATAAATTGGAAAACTCTCTAAGTAGATGCTCTGTATTTTTGGATTCTTTATACCATCAACCTTCAAAAACAAACAGATTCTATTAAGGAACATACCAAATACTTCTGCATAGAAAAATCATATCAACTAGCCAGTACAAGAGACTTAAACAGTAAGAGACAGACCAGTTCGAAGCATTAATCTCCTCTTCTCAATCTACAAATAACCTGGCTCTAGCTCTTCACCCTGTATATCAGGCACTCCCAGCCTTCCCGGATGTTATTTCACACCTTTTACCCTTCCCTGACTTGCACAGGCTGTGGTCAAATAGTCACTTCTATTGTGCTTCTCCAATGGAAATATTTATGTTGTATTGTTCTTTCCTGCAATCCCTACTTCAGATATACTTATAAAAAAAGTTCCATATTAGAGGCCATTTACATCCTATAGATTGAAATTCTTCACCTGAAAGAGCGACACGGATCGATCATGTCCAGCAGTCATGACTACTTGAGCAGATGGATGAAACTGCACGGTTGCCAGTCTTCCATCAGCAAAACGTTCCTGATTAGCAGGCAAGCAGATCCCCATCTGAAACACAGAGCAAGCAGTTAAAAGAACCCCATGTAACTGACATTTTTGCTTATTCTGGCGAACAGCAAATTTAATTGCCCTTTATTCTGCAAGAGCAAGATCTCAAACCCTGAACTTTTTGATGGCACAAGTAGAACAGACAAAGTTACTTCAATGCAGCAGTGTAGACAGAAGATGAACTAGCCAGCCGCTCTACTGACTTTGAAATTAACAGTCTGTGTAAAACTAGCTGCATTCAGACGTGTCTGAAATAGCTGTAGGACAGAGCTATACTGAAGAAGCACTCATTTAAAGCTGTCATTTCTCAAGGGCCATTTCAGAAGCCTCAAAGCTGTGGGACAATGATACCCCTCCTGTACAGAAATTAAAATCCTACAAGATGCTACTTTATCATACATAAAATGATTCTCATGTCAAACAACACATCTCAATTTGTTTCATGCTTCCATGATATGAACTGCTCAATCTGTCAAATTATTCACCCTCCAGGGTTTCCAGTTACAGAAACGAAGAAGAAATTCACACAATCACAAATTCTAACACTCAAATATCAACAAAGAAGCCAAAGCATGCATATGGGTCAAACTGAAGCGGAAAGATGAGGGTCGCCTTTACCTTCAAAATACCTCTTGGCAGGGACTCTGAATTTGTCACAAAATTGCCAGTCCTGCGCAGGAGATCATCATCTTCATCACTCTCACCTCATAAAAACAAAGTGCATTGAACATTCCCAAATCTTCATTCACGAATTCAAGGCATCATCATCATCATAGTTGAACAGACTAAATCCAAAAACACTTCCACATTAAAAGCTAGAAAATCCTTACAGAAACAAATTAAATCAAAGCACACTGAAGGAAGGAATAAAGCTGACTTTTGCAGCATATTAGCATACTACTGAATCTGAGAAAACATGAAAATATTTCAGCTGAATAGGAAAACACAGCAACACTTATTAGAGTAGTAATGGATTTATATTTACTATCACTTGCAGTCTTTTTGGATTTCTTCCTGTTTTCCAAGTCAGCCCAGGCAGGAACTCCTCCCATAGCTCGCTGAAACCTAGCAAGAGAAGGGTGAGGGGGTAAGAGGGGAAAAAAGAACTTTTTTGAGAAAGCAATTTCCTTCTATGCATTAAGTACTTACAAGATGTACAATCTGCAGGATCATTTGCATTTGCAACACTACAGAAGTTTGCTAAAATTTCACTCAGCTTTCTGTGTTTTGCTGACTTCCTAAATGTGAAACTAAAGCAAAACTGGTACCAAGCATTTAAGCACTCTTCTTTGGAGTGATACATGCTAATACCGTGACAACCCAAACACATCTACTTTGCTATTCCTATTTCAGCTCATTCTTATACACCATACTAAGGGAGCATCTTCAATCACACTATTTACAACACAGTGCATCACTACAACAAACTTTGGCGTAACTCCCTAGAAGACAAATTAGTTAGAGCTCCTCTCCTAAAACAAGTATTAAACCAGACAACATTAATGCATATTTTATTCATTATTCTTGGTATTAGTTTGGAATTACAAGCACTGCAGATACTGTAAGAAGCACTAGCTTTAATCAGGGCATATAAATACAGCAGGTAAAGAAGAAAGTGACTTTGAACAAGGCCAAATGCAAGGTCTAGCACATGGGTTCAGGGCAGTCCCAAGATGAACTATAGGCTGGGCATAAGAGCTTGAGAGCAGCCATAAGGACTTGGGGATGCTGGTTGACAAGAAGCTCAACATGAGCCAGCAGTGCACACCTGCAGACCAGAAAGTCAACCATATGCTGGGCTGCATCAAAACAAATAACAGCAGGCTGAGGGAGGGGATTCTCCCCCTCTACTCCACTCTCACACAACCCCAAGTGCGGTTCTGCACCAAGCTCTGGGGCCCCCAGCACACCAGAGATGAGGTCATGAAGATGCTGCAAGGGCTGGAGCAGCTCTGCTCTGGAGACAGGCTGAAAGAGCTGGGCTGGTTCAGCCTGGATGAGAGAAGGCTCTGGGGAGACCTTGTAACAGTCTCCCAACACCTAAACGGCACCTACAAGAAATCTGGAGAGGGACTTTTTACAAACGCCTGCAGTGACAGGTCCTTTCCAACCCAAACCACTCCAGGATTCTATGAACATCTCATAAGCTTATTTCATATTAAGAAAACTAACAAAACTCACTGTTCTTCAAGCCTTCTTTTTAGCTTTTTCTTAGTAAGGGTCTTCTCAGCATCGCTTTTCATGAAGTCTCTCCTATACCTATGGGTCATATCAACACTAGAGGGAAAAAACACATAAGAACATGAAGATTACTCAAACTGAAGCTGCTTTCTATTACTCTTAAGTATGACATCCAGTTCTTACCTTCAAACTTGAACTTACTTTTCCTCTGCTTCATCATCTTCATCCACCCAGGCTGGCTTTTTTGTCAGTAAATTACCTTTTGCTTCATTTTCTACTTCTGAATCACTGGAGTCCTTCTGGAGAGTTTCCCACTCTGGAGCATTAAGCTGAAAACAACCAAAGGGGCCATTTTAGCCCAGCTACGGATGGCTACAGGGAGATGCAGAGAGAAAAGATGCAGGGACAAAGAGACTGGGAAAGCTCCACAACGCTCCTGGTCGGGGCCTCAGGTGAGGCCCAGGGCAAGATCTGCCCGCGGGGCCCCGAGCCCTACCCGCTGAGGGCCAGCCAGGCACTGCAGCAAGTCATCCTCCTCCACGTTGACGCTGTCACCGAACACCAGTTCCTCCAGGTCCCGCTCCGCACCTGACGCGCAGGAGAGCTCCTTCAGGTGCTGGGCTCGGCGAACCGCCTCCGCGGCCGCCTGCCTGGCCGCCGCCCGCTCAGCTGCTGCAGCCGCAGCGGCCACCGCTAGGCTATCGCTCCGCCGCGTCACCGTTTTCGCCGTTTTCGCCATTTTCGCCGTTTTTTTCCCGTTATTTTTCTTCCTCCCGCCCGCGGGGGCAGCCGGGCCCGAACGACGCGGACCCATTCCACGCCGCATCCCTGCTCACCGGAACACGTGTTCGCAAGTCACGTGACATTTCATCTATACCCTCCCTAAGCCCTGTTCCCGGGGTGTGATAGGCTCGTGCCGCTGCCCCTCCTTAGCCCACGTGATTCCGGACGCTGTCGTCTGCCATAAGGCACTGTCACGTGATCTTTTTTCTTTGCCTTTCTTCCTCCACCCTCCCACTCCGCTTTCCGCGTGACGCGGCCCATGGCCGGGCGGCTCCATTGCGGGCCCAGAGAGGGTTCCCCCTTCCCGCGTGACAACAGCCGCCGCTCACCGGCGGCCCCACGGCTGCCCTAAGTTTTCCGCCGTTCCCCAAAAGGCAAAACGAGCCCCGGCGGAGCTGCTTTTGCGCCCTCAACCTCTGCCCCTGAGCCGAGCTCCCCCCCCCGCTTCCGAATGGTTTCCCCCAGAGGGCTGTACGGAGGGCGAGGAAGCCCCAAACAGGCTGGAGGCCAATGGTTGCGCGCCGCGCCTGCGCAGCGCCGCCATGCTAATGTTGTTGATGTTCCGGCGCACGGAGTTGGGGCTCTTCCTCCGGCGCGCTGAGAGGCTGAACTTTGCGGGCCGCCTCCTGCCCCGCCGGGCCCGGCCCCTCGCAGGGGGAGGCGGCAGGCGGAGGGGGCCGAGCCGAGGGGAGGGGGCAGAGGCAGCGGGCGTCTCCTGCCCATGAGGGCCTGATGGAAAACACAAAGGACCTGGTGAGTACCACAGCCCGGGGAGGGGGGGGGCGTGCTGAGGGGGCGAGCGGCTCCTGCGCCGCCTGAAGACAGCGGTGGAGGGCAGCCTGAGGGGCTAATGCCTGTGCCCGAGATCGGCCGCGGTCCCTGTGTGTGAGGGGAGCAGCTCCGGCACCCCCGGTTTGTGGGGGGGGGACGGCGCGGCTCTGTAAGGGGCCGCGGAAAGTTGCTTGTGGGCAGCCCCGCGGAGCCGAGCCGTGCTGCGGGGAGCCCCCGGGCGCTGTGCGGTGCCCCGGAGCCGGGGGTGAAGGGGTAAAGCCGGTCTGTCACCCGCGGAGGGGCCGCGGGCACGTGGGGGCGGGCAGCGGCGCGTCCCCTTTGTTGTGCGGGCGGAGCGCTGCCCCGGCCCCTAGGGCCGCGCTGGGTTTTTCTCCTCCCTCTCCTCCTGCTTCCTGCCGGCTCTCGGGATCGACAGGGAAAAGTTTCAGGCAGTCTCGTCCTGAGCGGTTCAGGCGCACTCGGACGCGGTTCTCGCAGTGATCCGCCGAGGTGCTGGCTTCTCAGCAACTTCCTTCTGTCGATAAAGCCTTTAAGGTTTAGTTTTCCAGTGGTGCTCATTTCAAGTGCTGTAGAGCATCCTTGAATATTAGCACTTCAAAAGCTTAGGGTTGTTTGCATCCAGTTCCCACCTCTATATAATTTTAATGACTATTAGTATCGTGACTTTGTTCTCGATGTGAAGAGCTGTAAACCCGTGAAACCAGTTTCACTTTCAGGCTGTTGCTGGGAATGTTTTAAAGTGTAGCAATTTCTGACCAGTGTGGCTTTAAAATAGAAAAGTCCTATTACAAAGCATATGTTGATTATGGTTAGAAACTACTGCGTGTGAAAAAGTAGTTCATTTGAAAATAATGATTAAAAATGTGGGTGGCAGCACTTGTGATTGTTTTCTTCACCTTTAGAAGCAGTTAAGGCTTCAGGGCAGTCTTCTGTGTATTAAACTAAAATTACTTTGCAGGTTTGAGAACCTGTATTTGCTCATTTGTTGCATTTGTTTATAACAGTCTGATTTTGCGGGTGAGGAAGGGCAATAAAAAGGCTGAGTCCAATCAGGATCGTCAAATGGGCACTAAACCAATATATTCCTTTTAAGAAGGCTATCAGCTTGGTAGGTTAGCGGTCTCTCTGCTCGTTGTTTCTGCCTAGGGATCATATTGAGGAAGTGTGGAATGTGAGCTATAGGGAAGCATAGCAGAGATGTGTGCTCTCCTAAATGGTAGTTATTGTTTATGCCACAAGAATAGTTGAGGTGGTGGTGTTGAGAGCATAAAGGCTTGTGCACAGGACTGTAGACTGAAATTAAGAATTCTCTTCATTGTTGTTCCCTAAAGAAGATCTAGATGACAATGTAGACAAAAGTTCCCTCTCCTTAGCCTTCATTTCTCTTACCTTCTAAAATTTGATTCAATTTTGCAAGGCTTTTGATACCTTCTGCAAAGTACTACTGCATACCTTCATTTCTCAGGTAAGTTTCACTGGGCATGTGTAATGTTTTGCTGAATCTGGCTCTGAGCACATGGAATGAATTCTGGTGTTGAAGACTTTAGTTTTGGGTTGGTGATGGTTTTTGGGTTGTTTTATTTTGCATTCAATTAGTTTGCTTTCTTTTGTTTTTATTGGAAACACAGTGTTTAAAGCAAAGTATTTGCCTCTTCCAGATACTCTTGCAAAAGCTTTGTAGAAGCGTAATGGAGTTTGTAAAAGATTTTCCGTTTTCTCAAAGCTCAGCTATTTCACATATTAATCATTACCTCCCCTCCAAAATCGCCTGCTAATTTGATATATTTTTTTATGAAAGAGTCTCCCCTCATGTGTGAAACCCTCTGGGGAAGAGGCTATGGACAAAACCATTGGCAAACAGCAGAAACTGGCTTCAGACAAAATGCTGTCATACATAGCAAATGAAGAGACAGGAAAAAACATTTCTGTAATTTTCCAGCAGAGATTTTACTTATAATAAGAGTGGAAGGCACATTTCCAGATAGAGGTGAGTTGCTTATATTAAAAAAAGTAAGTTTGGTTGGTTCTGATTTCCAGGAATCCCGAGATGTTTAGCGTTGGGTTTTTTTTGTTTGTTTGTATGTAACAAAAGCTGAAAGTATGTTTTCTCTCAATTGGTACCATGTTTGAATTTTCCTTTTTTGTCATGCTACAAGGCACAATTAGATTTCAGTTCCTCGGGGGGCAAGCTAGGATTACTATGGTAAATTATTTTGGCCAGTTTATGGTCAGAAGAGTTGTAATAAATTAGTTCTCTCATCTTGTTTCCTTAATGCTGACATCCAGAGCTAAAACTAAGCTTGTAGCATAAAACATCCATGAACTTTGGAAAACAAAAGCTGTGCATCAGATTTAATACCGACTTGGAAATCCACAATGGGAAATTCACTGTCTCTGAAGGATAGGTGATTAAAGTAAATCTGTCTTATCACAGGCCTTTGGCTTGAAGGTTGTGGTGACCTCACTGTTGACCTTGGCCTCAGATACCATCTGTCCATACTTCTGTCATGTTTCGGGGGGTTAGAGCTGAATATAGAAAGTGATGCCTATCTGTATAGGTGCTGGTAGGCCTTTGTTAAGTTACAGCTCATGTACTCGAGCTATAAATTGTGCCATTCTGAATTCAAGCACTGAATGAACTCAGTAGTAACAACAATGGGTATGAGTGGTTTAAAACCTTCCTGTGGTGGTGGATCATCTTGCTTTGGCCAGGATGCATTTACTTGGGGGCAAGAGATTTGCTTATTTAATAATGGGGTTTTTTTGTATAGCAAGTTTTCACCTTGAAAACACTTTAAGTTTTGCCAATACTTGAGCATAGTCTTCATCAAGACACTAAAACAATTTTCTGAGTAAGTATTTGATGTCTAACAAACACTAAATGGTGTTTTGGGTGTGCATTGTTCACCCTTTGTGACCAGTTTTTTTGTGCTGAAAGAGTAGTAGAGAATGTATGATACAGTGTGCTGATATCAAATTCAATTGCATCTATATAAGACTATGTGTTAAAGAGGGTGAGAAACTAGTTATTTAGAGTTGCCTTCCTGCTTTTAGAGAAACCAGTTTCCTTAAGTATATTCTTTTATCGTGCCATTTGCCTTGTGTAATGGTTAATTAAAAATCTATCTTAAAAATACATTGTTGCCAAGTATTCACAGGGAGCAGAGGAAGAACAGGAAAGTGGGAAGTTGGGCAGAGTAAGAAAGCAGTTCTTAAGAGCTCCTTTCCCCACCCACCCCTTCAATAAAGAAAAGTATGCAAGAAAACCCCCAAGCAAATAGTGGTACAGGCTTATTTGCCAGTCCTGCTTACCCGGGAGCTTTTATTGCTCTTTAAAAATCTTCCCTGTTGAGGAGCTGGTAATCTTACTAGGAAAATAAGTCTTAGCCAGTATGCCTGAAAGTTTTCCTTGTTCTTTTCTTTGTGCATTGCTTCTGCTTAACATACTGGTAGATTCTGCTAGTGGGGGTTTAGCTGCCACTCTTTTGGTACTAACCAGCTACAAGGTTCTGTGTTTTATAGTAAGCCAGGTTCTTGCACAAACCCTGTTTTTTAGACAGGCAGGATGCTGTTCCCTCACTGAGGGACACTAATCTGGTTCAGTTTTGAGGAAATGATTTTGAGCGTGATTCTTAATGCTAAATCCAGCTTCTCAGAGTAGGAAATTCTTTTGTTCTCTTCTATGCCTATATTGTGAAACATGGTTGTAATTGTTAGATTAAGTTACTGCTACTGTTAATCTCTGGTGGCTTTTCTGAGTAGAAGACTGCATTCTCACGGACAATGTCTCAGAATTCAGTGAGAACACCTTGCAGGGTAATAAACTATTCTTTCTGATGCCTCCGTTCTCAGAGGTCCCATAGCTACCATGGTCAGACAAACAAGGCACTGCTAGTCAGCTAGTAGGGCACACTGCTGCTCATCACTTGCAAGGCAGGGATTGCCAGCTGCTGCTGTTGCTGAAGCAGCTGCTTTATCTCTGTTATGGCTTGGTTTGAGGCATATATTGCCCTTCCTATTTTGACCTTTGAGTTCAGAGCTGGGCGCCTGCTTTTTTCCATTTCGGATGTTAGAGGTCCTATTCTTTTGCAAACTCCATCAAAGTTCTGCAGGAAGTGTTGTTGGAGATTCCACATGGTGTTCCCTTGTTTCTAAAAATGCTGTGATTCAACATGGGTTAAAAAGAACCTTGGTGGTTTTTATTATCAAAATAGACATGTTTTGATCTGCTCTAGCAAAATGCCAGCATAGGTATTTGCATGTCACCTTCCCTAACTTCCACCTACTTCTGTGCACAAAGTACTTAGTATTTTTTTGTTGTTGGAAAAAATACACCTTTTCCAAGTCTCACAAAACATATTTTGAGTAGTTTCCCCAGAACTGAAGTCCAGATAATAGCTATAAATGAAAAATGTCCTTCTTAAATGATCTGGCAAACAAGGTAATATTCAGGCAAAAGTTTGACCAAAAATATTCTATTAATTTTTAAAACAATAACCAAAGCTGCAGTATTGGCTCACTCGTACCTTGAACTGAGACACTTTAGCCAAATATAAAGGGAAAAGTGACATGAGACTTGTTTTGACTGTCATTAAACACAACAAACTTGATGATTGTTACTTAGGAATTTGTATGATGCTGAAGAATTATTATCTTAGTAGGGGGTCCAACTTTCCATATAGAAAATGTTTTCTTTCTCCTCTGGGGATATTTTGGCAAAGATGGCTTGGCAGTAATTTTGAAGTTCTAAATATATGTGATGCAGAAAAAGAACACAAAAGAGCCAACTGCTTATGGTATCTGCGATTGTAATCGTGTACCATGCTTCCACTTGCTTACGGTAGCCCGTCTTCCCTCTGTGCCATTGGTCTCACCTCCAGCTTCCCATTTCTCCTTTCACCTTTTCTTGCCCTGGGAGCAGTACTGGCTAGAGAGTTTCTCAGCTGTAGTACTGGGAGTTGGAGGGACTGGGAATGGGCTTCACATCTGTTCCTTCTGAGCTGCTACAGCATTTCAGACCTCTGTCAGCAAAGTACTGGGCAAAGCAGAACTGCCATGTTAGTCCAGATTTCTCCAATGGAAAAGGGATGTCCCAGAACTGCCTGCACTAAAGGGTTGAAGTATTCCTTTATGTGGGATGAGGCCCTAATCTCTAGGGAAATCAGATCAGCTGATTTATGAAGGCTGAGTGAAGAAGAAAGGAGATTGTCTGGATTCTGAAACCCATCCATAATCATAGAATCCTAGAATGGTTTGGGTTGAAAGGGACCTTAGAGGTCATCTAGTTCCAGTCCCCTGCCATGGGCAGGGACACCTTCTACTAGAGCAGGTTGTTCCAAGCCCCATCCAACCTGGCCTTGAACACTGCCAGGGATGGGGCAGCCACAGCTTCTCTGGGCACCCTGTGCCAGTGCCTCAGCACCCTCGCAGGGAAGAATTTCTTCCTGATACCTAATCTAAGTCTCCCCTCTGTCCCCCTTGTTCTGTCACTCCTTGCCCTTGTAGAAGGCATCCTGATACTCTGGTGTGGTGAACAGCTCATGTAATAATTGTGTTTTATTTCTTAGCAGAGACTGTGGTCAAGGGAAGTTAAATACTGTGAGACATTAAGGAGTTTGTGAAATCGTGAGGATGATGACTAGTCTTCATGTTCTGATCTGTAAATTACTGGCACTGTTGGCAGAACACTGTATCCATGGCAACGTTGTGCTCAACTTCTGCCTTGATCCATGCACACGTGCACAAACAAATAACTGATCTTGGCTCTTGATGGCTCACAGCATCAGTAATATGGCACCGGGATCACTCCTTGCCAGTGCAGGTCAGGACTCGGTTTTGTTCCGTCATCACTCGGTGTTCCCTCCGATGACTGTGATTGTTACCCTTGCTACTTCAGGCAGATGTCAGTTCCTTCAAGGGATTGTCAAGTTATGCCCTATGCTAAGTTTTGATGGGTTTTGATATCATTGACTCATTGGCTGAGGAACATGTGCATAATTAACATTGCACTGATTCTATTGTTGTTTTATTTCAGAGCTGCTTTAAGTGTGTTATATCTGTTTACCTTATTGCATAACCTTTTGTGTTTACTGGGTTTTTTTGTTTCTTCTTTTAATGGAATGCTAGGATTGGATCAGTGTGGAAACCAGGTTTTCCCTTTTAACTATAAGGAAATCCTTCCATAATAGGATTTAGTCGAATTGCAAAGGAGAATGGAGAATATTATAATAAAGGGATAGCACGGCAGGAAAAGGCTCGGATGAGATCCAACAATAAAATTGTTCAGGCGTATACTCTCTAGGAAAGGGATTTGGGGAATTACTGTGATGAAATCTTAAAGCTATGAATCCAAGTGCAATTTAAGAAGCGAAAGTCCAGTCAACATTATTATTTTTCTGTCCACAATGGCTTTTAAATAAAATTAGCTCTTGGAAAAGGAAGTAGAAGCAAAGGCTTTCATAATAGTTTTTTCTTGTTTCTTGGCTGTACTTCGTTCTCCCAACTTGTGTTTCTATTGTAGAATTTTCCTTTGTCTTCTCTTTATCTGTTATTTCCTCTCAAACTTCATAAATACTATTGAGAAGAATGGAAATGCTTTGATTATTTCTTTTTTAGCTTAATGAAGGCAGCTCATGTAGCTTCAGTCTTGTTTCTATAGAGCTGTGCAAGATATTAATGAAGTGAAAATTTGCACTGTATTAAAATGCATGTATTGGATGTGCAGCAGAAAGAAAATGTTTATGCTTCAATGTCTTGTGATTTCCAGCAAAGGCATTGTTTATACTTCAGTGTCTTTGCTGGAAATTGCTTCACTCTTATGCATTCTTCCAAACTGTGTGGTTTTATTTGACCTTAGTTTTTTGGGATTTAGGAAAACTCCATTATGTAACAAGTTTTTGTGTGACAGTGGCAAATTAGTCACCTTTCTATCTTTCAGCATTTATACGGACTCTATTGCCATAGTAACTGAGCTCTTCATAGTTGTTAATGTATTAATCCTCAGAACATCCCTGTGAGGTAGAGAGGTATTCCTGACTCGCACGTGAGACGTTGAATCAGAGGGAAGCCGGGTGATTTATGGATAACCCCACAAGCCAAGGAGAGCAGAGATATACTCTCATTTCTGTTCCTGTGGCATAAGTGCCCTCTTGGTTGAACTGCGTTTTCTCTGCCCAGCTTTCTCAAATGAATGAATTTTAGTGAAATTGGCTGCAGCCATCTGGAATGGGCTCATTTGCATATAAGATCTGTGGAGCTGTCATTATTCAGCACATCAGGTTTAATGAACTCTAAAGATACCACGGAAGAAAATGTATGGACTGCTACTGTGTATTCTCAGTGGATTGTGAGAGAGATTTTTCTTCCTTGGTATCACAATACTGAAAATTGGCTGGTTTTAATATCAGTGTAGTATACCAATACTAATTAAATTGGCAATATATGGTTCCTATCTCTGTGCTCATAGAGCAGTTTGTTATTACATCTGCTTTTGAAGGCTGACTGACCTTTGAAACTTTTTAAGCTTGACTTTTGGAAATATTTGCATTCAGAATCCTCTGCTATTCTTGGGATTTTTTTGTTTGTTTTGTTTTTAGACAGAACATACTTCACGTGCAGAAAGGAAAAGACGTGATTCATTCGGGATGTTTGACGGTTATGATAGTTGTAGTGAGGACACCAGCAGCAGCTCCAGTTCAGATGAGAGTGAAGAGGAGGTTGCTCCTTTGCCGTCCAGTCTCCCAATTATAAAGAACAATGGACAGGTCTATACTTATCCAGATGGCAAATCTGGCATGGGTAAGTAGGTGGTGCATGAATACAAAGAGTCTGATACTGGTATTTTTTAGTCTGTGTTGTAAGTTGTGAGGGTCCAATCCTAGATGTTGGCCCTTATTGAAAAGGGATCAAAATGTTTGTTTTCAGAGGGAAAATACAGTTTGTTTTGGGAGGGGGAATTGTTTGATTTTTAGCTAAACTGAAATGAGATTAGTTTTGAAAACTGCTATCAGGAAAGAAAGAGAATGGGAACATCCACCTTCCCTTCAACTGTGTGTTGTGTGTATATGCCCATGCATGTGTATGTTCTTATGTACATTGCTTCTACTCTTTGAGCTTTGAGGAAAATGTCGGAGTGTTCTCTGTGCTTGGGCATATATTCTCTCTACCCTTTGTTATATATACGATATGTTAAAATATATTTCTTCCTATACTAGGAAGACTTCATTACTGCTACTGTATGAAGTCTGTTAGTGTATACCTGTTCACCACCCACTGTGAATTGTAAAAGGGATTATTTTTATCATTGATGAAAAAATATTTTAGCCAGAATCATTAGTGATTAATAGAGCACTCTCTGGTTAGGATCTCGGTATTGTCCTCTTGGCATAAGTTGGTCCACAAACTCTTATTCATCAGTGGGTGATGCTGCCAACCTCTAAAGCATGTGACTACAGCTAAAAGTGGTGGGCTGGGGTACTTTAGGTATACATAATACATATAATGATAATATTATATAATTTATGATTCAGAAAAGAGATCCCGTTTCATTGTGGGTAGGAAGTATTAAATATTTAGAGGAAATCAAGATTGGCAGACCCAGATTCAAAGCAGATGTTTGAGAACCATGGAAACACAGAAATCTGCTATGGCTGGGTCATTCATTTTTGCAACCAGTGCAAAATTAATAGGGAGCAGAAAGGAGGAACTGTTTCACCAATGGTTCGCAGTGTTTCACTGACGTTTGTGCTGGTGTTCTTATTTGAAGTCAGGGTTTTGGTGCAATTCTCATGTTCAAAGCCTCAAACTATTTGGTGATGCCACCTACAGGACCTTCCTCGTATCGTTTTCTGATTTTTTTTTTTTTTTTTTTTTTTTTTTTTTTACTGAGGTCTTTATTACACTCTTTAACATTCGGCTTTTTCTGTCCTGGTCAGCTACATGCGAGATGTGTGGAATGGTTGGTGTCCGTGACGCTTTTTACTCTAAAACGAAACGCTTCTGCAGTGTATCGTGCTCTAGAAGTTATTCATCCAACTCCAAGAAGGCCAGCATTCTGGCCAGGCTTCAGGTAGCGGTACAGACACCATTTTCCTTATATACTTATTATAGTCTGTATTCATAAAATGTCTACATCAGTAAGACTTGCCAGCTGTTTTAAGATAAGTCAAGTTTCTTTACACATTGAAATTTTCATATAAGTGATTTTGTAAGCCAGAACTGTATTAGTAACAAAAAAATTGCTTTCATAAGCAGAGCAAATTACAGAGAATATTGAGTCCTTATTTCATTTCTGCTGCAGTGGCCCTTCTGCAGGAAAAAGATGAGGAAAAATCTTCAGTCTGCAATGTAGTGACTTTAAATTCCATGCATGTCATAGCCAAGATACTCTCTGGCTTTAGAAAGCATGAAGATTTACTTAGCGTTGTTGTGATTTGGTTTTGAGGGTGCTCACAACTATATAGATTTGCAAAATGGGGTCTGGTCTGTTCACCTAAAATATTAAGTAATCATAAAGGTGTATTTATAACATTGCAGAAAAGAGATAGAAATGTCAAAAAATACCATTATATCCAGTCTCAAGTTTATTGCAACAAATGCCATAAGTATAAATTAGATGAAAAGTTCTTCCTTTTGACCTGCTTTTAAAATATATCTTTTTTTCAGGTAAACAACAATGAATCTATAATGCTGTTCAAGTCGGAATACTAGTACAAAAGGCATTTTTGGACGTTCTTTGCTGCTGGTTTTTAAACTTACTAATTATTATATGTAATTTTGTGATACTTAGATGAGTTCCATTCTATGTTGGTCTAATTGTAGTTAAATCTACCAGAGATATACTACAGAGCTATGGAAAGTTCCTGATGGGAGTTTGAAAAGACTTTATTTACTTAGCTTTTTTTGTTTTAGGGTAAACCTCCAACAAAGAAGGCTAAAGTTCTACAGAAACAACCTTTAGTGGCTAAATTAGCAGCATATGCTCAGTACCAAGCAACTTTACAAAACCAGGCAAAGACTAAAGCAGGTAATGGCATTATGAACATTGCTGAAACAAATTCTTGGTAAGGCAAGATTCATTAGCAGCTTCCTAAATAAAATAACTTTCTCTTAGCAGCTGTCCCTGTGGAAGGTTTCAGCTGGGGTAACTACATCAATAGCAATAGCTTTACAGCAGCTCCTGTTACCTGTTTTAAACATGTAAGTATTTTTCAATATGTGCTATCCTTTTGTGTGTGTGCGTGAGAGAGAGAGTCCCTGTTAGTTCTGTAATTAAGCTTTGCAAAATACTCGTATCCAAATATGCTTCATGGCCTTGACTGTGAAACTTATAAATTGTGTTAGTGTGACTACTTTTGATTTTGATCTGTCCTTTAAAACCATTCTGAACACCATCACTTACTCTTATGATGCTGCCATAATCAAAGCAACATAAAAGGATTCTTAAACATGTATCAAGTTATTTATTCAAGGCGCAAAATCATCAAATGCACTATAGAGTAACAAAGCAATTCATGCTGTGTTAGAAAAAGTTGCAAAAGGCTTTCTAGATCACATCAAGCTTGCTCCATTATGTTGCACTGATCGTTTGGTTACGTATTTGTATTTGAGGTTTATTTTTTCCTTAGGTTAGTGAGAGTCTCCCTGAGAGTCATGCTGCCAGGTGGTGTAGAAATAGACAAAAACAAAGGCTTTTTGTAAATCTGAAATTAGAGGTTGGTTTTCTCTGATTTAGAGTTAGAACATTCCAAACAAAGAGTTCTCAGTTATTACAGAATGTAATTAGGGATGAGGAAAATATTTAGCAGCATCTGTCCTTAATGTGCTTATTAAACTCCAATTATTAAATCTCTTTAAACATTGTCAGGACTTTCTGTTTCATAAGAAAAGACTTTCTGACATGGTGTTTTCTCACTTTTTATTTGGGACGTTGCAGTGTTCATCTTCTTACAAAAGTTTTATGTTGCTCAAAATTATCTGATGAAAACTGCAGTCAAAACAAACATTTTTGTTTCATGGAACTTTTCCATAAGGGAGAAGAGACACATTTTCTGTCCAGTTCTGGAATTCATGCTGAGCCCTGTCAAGCCGTAAATCAGTAGGAGTTGAGGGCTCGTGGCAGTTGGCTCTTTCTGAATAGCACCATTTATGCTCAGAGGCCTTCACCATTGCCCGGGACAGAGCCTTGCATTAGTAGAACTTCATGAACTTGTATCAAATTCCGTGTGCTGAAGTAAGCACTTTGCTTCCACTGTTATATACATGCTGTAATAACCGATTTCATAAGTAAGTATCAAAAGATATTGTTTGATAATGTGAGCTGTGCCGTTACAACAAATTCTTCATGATGTATGGTATCCTTAATTAGATACAGCTACAATAGTTAGGTCACTTGTAATATGGACCATTATAGCATAATTTACAAGGAGTTCATCTTTCTTACTGCTCTCACTAAGTCAAATGGTATGACAATAATGTGAGCAGATACAATACTGATGTTAGCATTTTTACCTTGAAAATTTTCACAAGCTACATGGCAACAGTGCTATTAAGCCTCAATGTTGTTCCTTTTCTGTCCCTGTTTTCCTTTTTCACAAGTAAAATGCAACTCCTGCAGACTCCTTAGGAGATTTCTACTTCTTTGGTGGGCATTAGTTAGTATTTAAGGTGTTATTTGTATTTAGTTTTACTGAAATTATTTCATTGAAAAAGATTATTTAAACCAGTCGGAATCTGACAAGACATTGGTAATCTCTTGTTAAACCCTTCTCTCTCTTCCGTTCTCCATTGATGATTAAAAGAAACAATACTCTTTTTGTCTGTCTGGAAAGATTATTCCTGTTTTCTGTGTGCTGTATCGCTTTGATTCATTAAAGTTTGTACTGATGTTTGTTAGTTTTATGGATTCCATGCACATCTTGTGTGTGCCCATAAGAATGAACATAGAAATTTACTCTGTTCAAAACAAAAGTTTTGAGGTGACAAGAAAATCACAACGTACACTTCAATTTGTTGTTAAATGAAATATGTATCTAGTTATACTGGGTGTATCTATGTGGATATTTGGTAGGGAACATTGGCGCAATATTAAAGAAAAATTAAGGGAATTATGAGATGTGGGATTTGACTTATTAATATATTTATTTTTAATGACCTGGCATACCAGTATTTCAGGTCTAATGTAATTTTCCCAGATCAGTTCTTTTTTTGCCTGGAGAATTATTTCCTTTTCAATTTAAAACAGTTACATTTTAGAATTAACACATTTGAATCTTGAAGTTCTATCTCTTTCTTTGTATGAGAGAATTTCAAAGTCTTTTGATGTCTTTAATGTGTTTTGTTTTTTTTATACTTCCCCATTAACATCATCCTAGACTCAGTGCTTTGTACAGTAATGAAATTTACTAGCAGTAGTACAATTACACCCCTTTATAGTTTGGTAAACTGAAGTAGAGAAGCTGCTTTGGTTTATGTCATATAGGAAGCCTGTGACAAAGCCAGAACTACTGTTTGTGCACCTTCAGCCTCTTATTTTCTTTAGTTGTGTTGAATTGCCTTCATCAGACACACAACAGTAGCTGATACGAGGAGGAAAACTCCTTAGTTTCATGTTTTTAATATTGTGTTATAGCTTAGTCACATGCACTCTGCTCATTGCTAACCTCCATTCCAATTTCACTTTCTTCCAAACAGTTTCTACTTTTTTCTATATTTGCTTTGATTAGCTCAAAGCATTCCTAGAACAAAAGCAAATGCAATGCTTTGAGTGATTTTCAGTACTACTTAATGCACAACTTTATGCACAATTAGTAGTCATTATTCTTTTCCTCTCTGTTGCTAGTGAGATGCATGTTTCCTGAACTTAAGAATTTTTCAGTCTTTCTTCCATTTGAGTGTTATTCTGAGCAGAAATACTTCCATTCTCCTGGTTTCTTTGTTACAAAAATAAATATATAAAGGAATGTTTTGCTCGAAGGGAGCTGTTCCAGGGTTTTACACTAGGTGGCAGTGCCTTGCTGTGAGCTCTTCCTGTTAAACGTCTTGCACGTTGTCTTCTCCGGCATTGCCCTTTGTTGGGGTTCTGTTCACACACAAGGTTAGGCATAGTATCCTCACACTGAAGGAATTGTAGCAGCACTTTGCCATTAAAAGCCTGATTCAAGTTTTCAAGTCTGAAATCATGGCAATGTCGGTGCCATCCAAAACCTTCAGAAGCCAATTATTTAACCCCAAGGTATTTGCTCAACTGGGCACACGGACATAAGTAGCCTTTAGGCGCTCCTGTCAAACAGGCCCTTCCTGATTGCAACTTACCTTGCAGAGAAGGCAGCTGCCACTCACAGATAAACCCTCCCAGTTCATCTCCCGGAGCAGGAAGTGATGAACCAGATTTTCCTTGTTTGGGAGTGACACGAAGTGGATCTCTTCGTCACGAGTCTGAAAGGTAAATTTGTTCTTACCTGTAAATTGTGGTTCTGCTAGTTCGCACTATGCCAATCCAGACTTCAGAGTTGCCCTTCCAGCCAGCACTTACACAGTGCTTTTTGAGTTTTTTATAGCACTGTGCAAACATTGATTGATTAATTAGATGAAGACAGAGAAGACATGAAGGAAGATGGCTGTTACAGCCCTGGTTGATCCAGTCTTCCTCCCTTAATATTCACAATGACTGAGAAAGACAAAGGTGGAACAGTATACTAAGTATACTGTAAACCACCAGTCCAGGACAGCAGCGTAATCTGGCATTTCAGTAGTGATGCTACACAGGATGACTTCCTTATCCTAAAGGGTGGGCCATATGGATTGGTGTAGGAGAACTAGCAGAACCAATATTTTCACAGTCAAGGACAAATTTAACTTTCTGCTATTTCCCTCTATACCAATCCACGTTTCCATTACCAATTGATGTGAGAAGTGTTTCCATATACTTTTCTCTCCGAATCAGCTGAATAGATGAGCAGGCAGTAAAATATATTTTGGTTAAGTTCAGCTGGATTATGAAATTATTCAGCACTATTTTTGACTGTTTGCCCTCATTTGTATGTCTATAGAAGGCAACAAGATTTACTAAAATATGCACTTTGAAAAGTTTATTTCCCCAATTCAGAAATCTACATGTGTCAATTTAGAGCTTATAGTGAACGTGTGATAGGACTTGATTAAGAAGCTGTATCTGCAGATTTTGTATGTGAAAGTAAGCCATCATCTTTGGAGCTGGTTTTTTTCATCTCTGCCAGATGGCAGAAAAGAGCTCTGCAGTCTAGTCTGGTGTAGATGGGACATAGCAGAACATGAAGAGACCAGGCTTCAAGAATCAGAAACTGGCATACTTGTAATAACTTATTTTTCCTTTAATAGTTAAAACTATTTTTGGTTTTGCATGCCTAGCCTCAAGTATTTCTACTAGTGCAGGGTATCCCTTTTTAAGCTAAGTTTGGCTTTTAGTGCTGCTAGTCGGCTGTTGCTGATTACCAGCAAAATTCCAGTCATTCGGGATTAATCAAAGTTTCACTTGGAGCTCTCAGCCAAAACTTTATGAAGTTGGAGGCTGTTCTCACTGAGAGTAGGTTCTCTGTGTTTGCAAAGAGCTTTGTAAATAAGACACAGCCTTGGAACACTGTCTGCACACTATGGTGCAGAACCAGAGGGTCCCTTCAGTTGTCCCTGTGATACCTGAATATTCTCTGAACTGATAAAAATATATTTGCTCAGAACACCTATGAAGTTATATGACTGTTGTTCTGAAATACCCCAAATCTGAATATTTCCCTTCTTGGTGGTCTCAAGTTTAATCTACACTGCATCATTTTCTGTTTTGTTACCAACCTAACTTCAGTTGAGTCACTTGTAAGGTTCTTCAGCACTGTGCATTTCTGATATCTCTACAGTACCATCCTTGACTATCTTTTCATGATGCTCAGTTCAACAAAACTAGCTTTTTTGAGGTAGCAAACTAAATGCAGCTTATTTCCAGTTTCCATAAATCCTTGGTAGTTTATCAGGCATGTATTCCTTTCTGTTATTAACATGTTAGTGTGAGCCTTGAGGACAGTGTGAGGAATCTAGCAGAGCGTTTCCTTTTGGCATTCATCAAAAAGGTGCCACTTATAAGCACCTTCTGATCTTTTGCTTACTTGATGGAATGATCACTTGCCCCTTCCTCTGAAAGGACGTGAGCCAGTGAGTGATGAGCCCCACCATAATAAATCACTGGGATAGAGTCAAAATGTAACTTTTAGGCATTTTTTTCAGGAACATTTCTGCTTTATGGAATTTAAAGATTTTGGTGTCTGTCGTACAGGTATAAATTTATAAAGTACCATAATTTTGTTGTAAGTAGAATTGCAGGGGAATTACACCATTCCCATTAGAAGCACTAGCTTGCACCTACTTGAAACAGTAAAGCTGACCTGTGAGTATATGCAATATTTATTTGTGCTTTACAGATTTTTAGACTTGAAATCTTATAGTTTTTCCAGGAAAAACACAGTAATAATTGTCAACAATTACAATACTGCACATAAGCTTCAAATCAAAACTAGGTTTTCACAGAGTGTTTTCTAAACGTAAGCTTATGTTTTATCATGTATTTTGATTGTTTTGTCTTAAGACCTGCAAAAACACTGATATAATAACAAATTAATTATTTTAATGTGATGAACTGGTGTCTTTCTCCCCCCACCTTAAATGATAGGCACCTATGGGGACATGCTGGGGTGATATCTCAGAAGGAGTGCGGGTGGAGGTTCCAAACACTGACTGCAGCCTACCTACCAAAGTCTTCTGGATAGCTGGAATTGTAAAATTGGCAGGTAAATTTATTTTATTTGAAATTATTAAAATGATCAAAATAACTGTGTGAAGGGAGCTAATGATTGAGTCAGTGGTCACCTGGTTAGTATAATTTTAGTATAATCCCAGTGGTTAGGTTATTAGAGCTGCATCAATAGGTTAAATGTTTTAGCACTATCACTATGTTATATACTGTTCCCCAGGGTCTTCAGTGATGCTTGAGAATGCCTGGGGCTTTTTTTTGTATTTTGGGTTGGTTTTGTATTGCCTCAGTGCAATAAAAGTAGTGCAGAGTGAGAAGTAGACTGTATAATGGCAAGTAACTGTTATTGGTTAGAGTTAAAAATTCAAGACCACATAGCTATGGTATGAAAAAAACAGATCCTGTAGGTAATAAATTAATTTTGTTGTCCTACACTTTACTTCTAAAGGGTTATAAAATTTTTAATTAAAATTTGACTTGCATGATGGCGCATGCACACTTACTGAAACTATCCGTTCTGTGCATCAATAGCATGCAGACAAGTGCCATAAGAATAACATTCTATAAAAAGTCATAGTCTAGGAAATCTCATGTAATATACATTAAGATTGGCAAAGAAAAGCTAATATGTACTTTATAATCTTGTTCAATTTTTATCTGCTTTACATGGGATTGCTTTCTTTCAGGCTACAATGCACTGCTAAGATATGAAGGCTTTGAAAATGATTCAAGTCTTGACTTCTGGTGCAACGTTTGTGGTTCTGACATCCACCCAGTTGGTTGGTGTGCAACCAGTGGGAAGCCCCTAGTTCCTCCTCGAAGTATGTAAATAGTAGCCTTACCCATTGATATGAAGGTTGCTTTATTACACTAGATTTGCTCATGGTCCAGATACCAAAGTATTTTCTTACCATAGCAACTCTATCAACAGTTACGAATAAATCATTTTATTTTGTGGAAAAATAAAGACTCGACTGATGCTGAAAGTGTTTCTTGGAGTAGCCCATCTGATGTGACTTAAAGCTTTTAAGATGCAGGTGGAAGCAGTTAGCTGATCAGTGATGTGATCATGCACTGATTTTATTTATATTTAGTCATTACATTCTTTGCCCTGATGTACCCATAAACTAATCTTGGGTAGCATTCATTCTCTAAAGAGGTTTTTGTCATTATTGTCATCCAGGCTTTTTAATAGTCATCTGGGATTTCTTCTTTACATATTCCAGACTCTAATGTTGTCTCTAACGGACACAATTAAAAATCAGTGGCTTATTTTTTCCCCTTCATTTGCAACAGCCATCCAACACAAATACACAAACTGGAAAGCTTTTCTAGTGAAACGACTTACTGGTGCCAAAACACTTCCTCCTGACTTTTCTCAGAAGGTAAGGCTGATGCAATATCAATGATGTAATGTAACCAAAATTGCAGCACAATGTGAAGAACTGAAGTATCTTTCAATGGCACATAGCTCCTTTTGATACAGTAGTTTCTTCCCTTAAATACAGTTTTCCTTACAATCTCTGTTCTCCATTTATGTCAGCACTTGTCAGTATGTGTTTGGAAAACTGTTTCCTCTGGCAGAAAGTAATTTTCTTTTAAAATTTGTTAGTCTGTTTTAATTTTAAAATACCCCAATTTAAAAATAAATGAATAAACCCCAAACCAAAAGTGCCAGTCAGCTACCCTGTGATACATAAAACCAATTAAAACTAATTTTTCTAATTCAAGAATGGGTTTTGTCATGTACTATTTCAAGAAACTGAACAAAATGCATTCATATAGCATGTACCTAGATGCAATAAAGGACATGCTTTTAAATGTTAATATATTTCATCTGCTCTGGACTAGATTTTTTTGCTGTCTGTAGGTCATATCTTTTAAGTGTGGCAGCTGCCTGTATATAGTGTGCTGTAAGTTTACTTCCTAATATGATGAGATATTACATAGCTTTCAGTAGGAATATTGTTGTCTTACACTGCATCTAGTATTAAAGAGTGAAGAACAAGGAACACATTTCTGCAGTTGTTCATTTCTAGTTAAAAATTGGCTCTGTTGGAAGCCAAATTAGATTGGCAAGATCTCAATACTTGGATTTAACAATGGAAATGGCAAGTGACAAATACTTACTTTTAAACAGAATGTGTGTTCTCAAGGCATATTAACATCTATTTCCATTCTTTTTCTTTCTTTTTGATATATTATCAGGAAATATGTTTGTGAGTGACCAGTTTTAATTATGTTGAAGGTTTGTTTTCCATGCCTTTTATATTAAATTATTTTAATTCTATTTTGTATTTTGCGTGGATGAAAAAATAGAAAAACAATCTTGGGGAGCTTGTTAAAATAATTTTTCAATGTAATTTTATCCATTTTTCACAACTGAGCAAACGTTCATTACATCACTGGAAGATTCCTGTAACCTATGTGAGAACTGTTATTAGAGGCTGTACTTGATACAATTAGAGCATTGTAGGATCTATTCTACACTTTTTTGAAGCTTTTCATTCTTCCCCATGAACAGTGAAATACAAGAGTAGTCCTTTGTGTCATTTTTGCAGGTTGCTTAGAAAGTACTTGAATTAAATGAGAAGCACATTGATACCAGCTTTACTTGCAGAAGACACATGGCTAAAGAAAACCACAGTATATTCTTACTGAATGGCTTTTTCTCCCTATTACTTTAAGGTGTCTGAGAGTATGCAGTATCCCTTCAAAACTTCCATGAGAGTAGAAGTTGTTGACAAAACACACCTTTGTCGAACAAGGGTAGCAGTTGTAGAATGTGTCATTGGGGGACGATTAAGATTGGTGAATGAAGAAAGTGACGACAAAACTGATGACTTCTGGTGCCATATGTACAGTCCCCTCATACATCATATTGGTTGGTCTCGAAGTATAGGACACAGATTTAAAAGATCTGGTAAGCTTGTTGTGGGTTAGAGGTGTCTTTGTGGGCAGTATTGGCTTGGAGATGTCCGACTTAAGCAGTTCTGTCACTTTACATAATTAATAAAACTATCTTGAATAATGATCTTTAAAAATTTATAGTGTGGTCCAGGGGGTTTAACAGTTATATTACATTTGGGAGTTTAAGTTACAAGTATAAATGGTATATTTTATAGCATTGGAAAAAAGCAAATTAATTATAGGTTGATTTGTGGTATGTCAATGGGATGCAGCAATAACCAGAGGTTAACAAACTGTCTAACCAGGAAAACCTTGAACTACGTTATTCAAACATGGTAAACCTCATGATGATACCTGGAATTACAGAGTCTTGCTCCACAAACTCCTCATTTCTTCACATCTGCCCTTGTACAATGCAACATGGATAAAGTCTGGTTTTTAATATTTCTCTGCTCTGTTGAGCTTGTGTCTCTTGTCGAAAACAGAATTCCTGTAACACATGCACAAGGCATCCTTCGAGGGAAGCCTTCAGTTTTCCAAGTGCTTCAACTTTGACTGAAACCATTTAGAAATAAGAGTGATTAAAGAAATCAAGAGCAGTGCTGCTTCCCAAAAGTGGTGTCTCTAGCAGAGTTCCAGGGGTTGCCCTTGGAAAGTAGTATTGAACAGTTGGCTAAACCCAGCTATATATAAAACCGTATCCTTTTCTGTCATAACATAGTGCAAAGTAGTTACCAGTTTCTTGCAAAAGCTTCTCTGTGCATTTGCATCAATTCTGTGACATAATCAAGTGGTCTTGTAAATATTGGATTTGGGGTTTTTCTATAAATGTGATGGTGTTGTAGAGGTATTGCAGGAAGACATCAATAAGGAAAATAGCTGGATTATGGCCTTCAGAATTTTGTGGCAATCCCATTATAAACTATGTGCCTCCCATGCTAGTGATTGCACTGTTTAAGTTAACATTCAGAATGCATACTGTCTGCTATTAACAAAACTTCTGAGTAACATCTACTATTATTCCTTGTAGATATTACAAAGAAACAGGATGGACATTTTGATGCACCCCCACATTTATTTATGAAGGTGAGTTTGCTGGCAGGAACACTCTTTTCTCAGAGTTGATTTAGGACTTAAGTCCAGCCCAGCACGTTACTTTTATTCAAGCTCTTGCCTCATTTGGCCTCCTTAACATAAGCAGGGATGATACAGCAGGTATTTCCATCTGTTGCTTTGGCAGTGTGGGGTTACGTTTTGTTCCAGGCTTATTAGAGTCTTAGCTTCTGGTGCTGTTATCTGATTCTTTAGGTAAAAGAGGTTGATGCAGCTGGAGAATTTTTTAAAGAAGGGATGAAATTGGAAGCTATAGACCCCTTAAACCTTTCGGCAATATGTGTGGCAACCATTAGAAAGGTAAGAAAGCAAATGTGTATTTTGGGAAGCTAGACAGGAATCCTTTATTTATTCAGTTTTATTCAGGCTTGAAACGAACTCAAAACCAAAATAAATGCAGTTCATTCGTGTAGTGGATGTTTATGGAATATGTCCAGTCACTGCTTACATACAACTACTATGAAAAAGACAGTATTCAGGTAAATTTTTGTTTTGACTTTAAACCCTGGAAATTCAGCCATACCTTTAATTAGAGCATGTTTGTGAGATTGATTGTGCTAATTCTACCAAGTATTTTGCAACTGAAACCTCATCTTGCTTACTTGCAGAAGCCAATGAAGACATTTTAAGGGTATACTTCTTTCCTAGCTTGATTGAAAGGGAGCTCATCCATGTGAAATCTATTTTAAAAGAGTAAGAAAATGAGAAGTAGCTTAGCAGAATTGTATAACCTTACCAGTGAGGAGTGCAGTTACGATTTTGAGTCTTTTGTCTCATTAATGGTGTACAGAATATCTTTGCAAGCTAAAGAGTAGGCTGAATTATAGGGCTTTAGAAGTAGAACTGATGTTCATGACTAGAGATCAGGAAAGGGAAATGTTCATCTCCTAACTTTGCTGTTAACAAAGGTACATCTGACAATAGTGCACCCAGACCTGGAGACAGGTATGATCTGAGATTTTTTTGTTCTGTTGCAATTGAATGTCCTTCTAAGTGTGCTTCCATTATGATTGAGTTACTTTTCACTCTTTTGAAACATGGCATGCTTTCTTTCTAGCCTTATCACACAGTTCAAGGTATTTAATGTAAAATTTTGTTTTTCTTCACAAAGGTTTTAGCAGATGGCTATCTTATGATTGGGATTGATGGCTCAGAAGCAGCAGATGGGTCTGATTGGTTTTGTTACCATGCCACTTCCCCTTCTATTTTCCCTGTTGGTTTCTGTGAAATTAACATGATTGAACTAACTCCACCCAGAGGTACATATAGCATTCTGACCACATTTTATTTTGAATATTTTTCAGTGATATTGTATGTGCCATATGCTTTGTTTCTTAACTCATTCGACAAAATTCGTGTCACTTTTTAGGACTTTCTCAAGTCTGAAACAGATACAACAGCGTAACTTCAAAGTAATCTACAACAGAGATGACAAACCTCCCATTTAGAAAGAGTCAAATTGAACATTGATTCTCTGGCTAAAGTAATTTGCTTTTGCTGTCAGAAACTGAGGATAGCCATTGGTTGAATGGTACATCCATTAAGTGAATGGGAAGTATGCTTGTTACTAAAAGGACTGTTTAGAACATGGCTTTGCTTGGGAAGTCCTGGCCATCAAAAGGATTGAGAAGCGTTGTAAAGAATCTCAGGCTTAGTCTAATTCACAGCAATACCAGAATATGCATAAACTTGAGCTTTGAGGAAGTAACCGTGGGAGCTGTATGTTGCATAATCCCTTCCGTGAGAGAAAGCTGTCTGTCCACTAGCACATATGCCTACAGAAGACTGTATTGCCTTCATTCTTCCATTTTATTGTCTTGGTCTAGTGATTTATAAAGGATTGTTACTAGCTGTGTAACAGCAGATAATAATGGTTTTCTATTTATTTTATTTTCTCCATTCTCATTCTTGCAGGCTTCTACTTCATTGAATTGATTTTCTAGGTAATAACGACAAAGACAGTGTAATGCAACATGAAGAAAATAATTTCATATCATTTTCATTATTGCACACTAATGAATCTGTCATTGCTGAGTATGTGGAAAGTGCAATTGGACAGATTTACTGCTATTTTTCAGTCAGTTCATATAGTGAATTTATTGCCTACAAATTCATGGGCATAATCAGCCCTAAAAAATAGGTGGTGCAAGAGTCTCTTGAAATAAAGTGAGAGGAAAAAGCATGCATATCAATACCTATCAGTCAGTTTAGAAAGAAATACATCAAGTTGCTGATACAGAATAGGAAAACCGCTTCTTGCTGTGATGAAACTCGTTCTCATTACTTTTCAGACACTACTTACGCTATAGAATGTGAATTTTGTTGTTAGCACATTTATGATTCTTCTGTGTTTCTTTTATCATGGCAACTTTATCCTTTCTATACCTGTATTTTTTCCCTTTTGTTGCAGTTTTCCATAGTGGTTCTGTATCACCCACTGAGCCATGATTAAAAATTGCACACGCAATAATCTAAAAGTCATTTGAAAGAGGAATTAACAGGAGTAAAATACAGAACATAATGCACATTAACATATTTAATAGGATCACAGTAATCAAAGCTTCTTAGTTCTTACGAGAGGTGTATTTTGCTTTCCAAGTAATGGGCTTGAAAATGGAGTTTCTGAATTCTGACTACTCCAGCAAGGACCACGTGCACATGTCTGTAGTGTGTGGTGAGAAGTTAAATAAATTGCATAGAGATATGTTGATCTAGCCAGGAGCTGTGCATTAACAGGAAAGCATTAATACACAGCACTGATACATTACTGCCCTTAGTGATTTTTAGCTTTTCAGCTACATCTATTCATGCAAATATTGCATACCTATTGTGAACACTTTTCCAGATTGCATGTAGCGGTGCAGATAAGTCACTGTGAAATCATTGGACTTTATACTCATTCCTTCCAAACATCTTCATCTCAGGCTGGAATCAGTAGAAGATGCTTAGACACTTTGAAGAATGGAATTGCATTTTGGGCTGCCTCATGAGTCTGAGTCAGCAGAACTGAGCTAAGACCCAGTGGGAGCTCTCTGCCCCCCCTAGATGAGATCCAGCCGTTTCCTGTAGCTCCACATGCCCTGCCCATTGCACTCAATCTGTTCAGGATGTTCAACGCTGCTTATGACTACCAAGAAATCTTTCAAGCTGTTGTTGCTCCACCTAGAGTTTGAGAACTGTTGGTTTAAGTAGCTGTAGAAGTTGCCCAAAAGTCCTGCTTATTTTATGCATATTCAGTAGGCAGACAAAACCTAAATATATTTGGGAGATTTTTCTTTATAATACCCTTTAAAATTAAAGGGAAAAGATCCTGTAATTTTCCATGTTATGGCTGGGTTTACGTTTACTTTAAAATATTCATGCTTGTACTTACCACTCTGTTCCTAACAATTCAGGTGTTTAAATAGTGGAGCTCTTTCCCCCTAGGAAAGACACTGGATGTGCTTAATTCCATGATCTGTTCTGGGTCATTTGTGTGGGGTATTATAGAGATCAAGGATCTACGTGGACAGAAAGCTTCAAGTATGAGTGATTAATTGTAACATTAAATGACACTTTCCATGTTATCCAGAGGCTCATTCATCTTGTTTGTTGCAAGTGGGCAACATCCAGGAGACTGTCTTGCCCTTTAGACAAAGCTCAGAGGGTGGAAGTTTCTGATGTTAATGTTTTGTTTCTTTGTTGTCTTTTTAGCCATAACACAGTGCCAGTAAGGTATTTTTGTTGTTGTTCTTATGCCTGATGTTTGCAGTTGATGTATGTAAATATTGTTTCCAATTCACAGGTTATGCAAAACTCCCTTTTAAATGGTTTGACTACCTCAGGGAAACTGACTCAATAGCAGCACCTGTAAAGCTCTTCAACAAGGTAATAAACATTCTACATCTTTAAATGGAATTAGCATTTTCTTTACATTTCTATTTGTAATCAGTGGGATTGACCCATTTCATTAAGTGCAAATTTGAAAAACTAAGGCAACAGAGACTTACAGAAGTAAGAACCAGTTAAATCTATTAAGCTTCAATGTTTGTGAAATGTGAAGTAGAGTGTATATGAAACTTGGTATTTCCCTACATGAATTTAACTGAAACACTTATTCCAGTATTGTGCTTAAACCATTTCAGTTAACATGTTTGCTTACTGCTTTTTGCCTTATTTGCTTTTCCAGGAAGTTCCAAACCATGGGTTTCATGTTGGAATGAAACTGGAGGCTGTTGATCTGATGGAACCTCGCCTGGTATGTGTGGCCACAGTAACTCGCATTATCCATCGTCTTCTGAGAATACACTTTGATGGATGGGAAGATGAGTATGATCAGTGGGTGGACTGCGAGTCCCCAGACCTCTATCCAGTGGGATGGTGTCAGCTAACTGGATATCCACTACAGCCGCCAGCGCCACAGTGTAAGTTCCTGCCTTGTCAAGAACGTAACAGTTGCTTCTGGTCCTTGTTCTTCAGTGATGATTTTCTGTAACTTCATCCTTTTCAAGTCGGGTCCCCAGCCGTAACAAAAAACAGAACAAGGTCTTGCTAATGCTTGGCAGTATACAGTTCTGATCTTTCCCACCTTGACTTGTAAAGTACTTCTGGGTGCTTTTGTGGCTACTATTTCTTTTAATGCCAGAAGATGCTTGTTTGATGCAGGGGGAAAAACCTGCTACTTACTCATCAGTTGTGGATGATATCACTGAGAGTTTCTGTTGCTTTAAGTTTGCAAATATACATGCTTTACATACTGGATTTGGTGGAACTCTGTGTGTGCATTGCTATTCATGTGCAGAAGTATTTATGTGGTAAGTGCATCAAGACTAGTCCTGCCAGGTTAAGTTATATGATTATAATTGATAACTCTGTTTCTGCAAACTTAGCATTTAGTGAGAGGGCAACAGTAGTTTCTGTTAGTAATTTAATGGGAGGCTTTTTCCATAACAAACATACTCTGCTTTTGTTCAGTCACTAGGGGAAAACTTTAGTAACTGTGTAACAGCTTTGATACGTTCTGAAGTGGTTTTCCAAAATTTAAAGTTTAATTCTAAACTTTAATTTAGAATTTTGAATCCTTTTGCAGCATCAAGAGACAGCCAGTCGAGTTCCTCGAAACAGAAGAAAAAAGCTAAATCACAGCAGTATAAAGGACATAAAAAAAGTGGGTGACAAAGTAGCATTTGCACTTTACCTGTTGTTTAAAAAGTTTGTGGTCTCTCTCTAAGTGCCTATTCGATTTGGGAATGTTTGTGTGAAAACTGGTGTTATGCTTAAAGGTGCAGTATGCCATAAAAGAAACTTTTTCACTGAGAATAACCCATTTTTGTAACTAGCAACAAGGTAGATGTTGCTGCTAATAACCTGTATTAATTGTAGATGGACAACTGTTACAATAGTTGTGATATTCACACATAATTTTAATTTAATAATACATTGACTGTGTAGGTGGACTGCCTTACACAGAATACTCAGGTATCAATTAACACACTTTTACCTCTGCTTTTTGTAACACAGGTGTAGCAATAAGAACCAAGTTACTCGGGTCAGAAAGAATGAGTTGTAGAAAACTTACATTACCATCTACTTGGTTCAGTTTTAACACGAAAGTGACTTATTTGCTGTTTAATTTTTTTTATCTGAGACATCTGTGGGAATCTGTATGTAAATAAGATTTTGATATGGTTATTTTCAGAAGTAATAAACAGCACTGCTGGATGTGACTATTCTTGTCACAGTAAAACATAGTGATGACGTATTTAAGAATCTGAAGCATTCAGATTCTTTCCACAGTAATTGTTTCTTTTGGGATCAAATTATCTTCAAAGTTCACAACCAGTTTGAAATTGCACAAATGCACATTTTGCATTTGTTCATCTTTTTATTTCCATGATGGTTGGTTTAAGCTGAAAATCTGTTTTATATGAGTAAAATACAGGGTGTAGAGATAGCCAGTGGTGGGACCTTCTCCCACCATTCTTCTCAGGAAATCAGATGCATCTATATTCTCTCCTCTAAGCAATATTATGGTTTCATATGGCAGTTTCATTCCAAAGGTTCTCAAGTCAGTTTTCCAATAATCTGATAGTTTTGAAAGGCAGCTACCTCTTGAGTAAAGAGCAAGAGCAATAACAGCCGTTGTACAAGAAATGCTTGTGCAAGAGGTGATGAGACTATAGACCTACCCTGTGTTCTTAAGAGCTGCACTGTTTTCAAATGATGTCTACCTCAAGTTCTTACAATATCTTTCTTTAAGAAGAACCAATTGCAACTCGGGGTGGGAGGTTTTTTTTCTGCTACATGAGAATGAGGTTTGTCCTTATAAAAGTAGATAGTCTTGTTCCAGACAGCCTAAGTATGTATTACATTTGGAGCATCAACTCATTATGCTCATTCTCTTGATGTTTTCTTAAAAACTAGAGTATTGAATAGAAGGTGCATTATTTTACACTGCAGACATCTGGGCAGATCAACTACAGAAAACTCAAGACACATTTGTGTGAGCTTTAGCTCTATTTCATCTACTTCTCTCGTTTCAAATCTTACTATGTTTGAACAGTAGTTTGTTGTAATAAGATGAATTCACTGATTCCTGTTCCATCGCAGATGTAGCTGTCAGGGAAGGGCCCATTGGCCTGGGATAGGAAAAAAAAGATACCTTGTTTCTGAGTAGGAGCTGAAGCTAAACTCTTGAGTCAGGTCTGCCCTAGCTTCCTGCAGTGATTCTGAGAATTGTGTCAAATGAGATTAAAACTCTAGTTTTATCTCGGGCTTTCCCTGTGATAGAAGGATTCACTTCAGTGAAGGACTGTGCTGCAGTTGTGTAGGACTAATGTCTTCCCAGTCCATTTGTGAATGGATCTATTAAGGCAATCTAGAACCTGCTTCACTAGTCATTGCCGAAAGCAGCCTTTGCCATTTTGATCTTTGGACGTAAAGAGAAGTTGACCAGTGAGTGCCACAGATAAAGCAGGTTTCTGGGAAGTTCCTATGACCTCCTGTTAGGTGCCTCAAACATTGCACTGTTTCTGCTTTCTGCTCTTAGAGGAAATAAACAGTAAAATGCAGATCCTCTTCAGAATCTTGCAGTGGTATTTTCTAAATAGAATTTGGGTACAGAAGAGCTGAAGCTGATCTGAGAACATCAGTCTGAAAAGCTATGAGTGCTGTTGCCTTAATCTAGGGAAAGGTGCCTATACCACTAGTTGCCTTTGTGTAGGACCTGTTTTTGAATAATTCTGGGCTGTCTGAGCAAATTTTTAGCACACTTTGCTAGACCATCCTGCTCCTTACCTCATCCCTCTCCTTTCACCCAACAGCTCTGCAAAAGTTTCTTGATATCTGTCTTTGTAAGTGCAACACAAACACTGTAAAGGAAATTCCTCTTATCTAGTGCCATAGGAAGATTTATTCCAGGGGAATTCATTCTTCACTTCTTACTATCTGAAGTAAATTTGGGCTGTGAAAACAAGGAAGAACTTCCAGTGGTTTTGGAGAGTCTACTAAGAAATCTATTTAATCATCAGAAGATGAGAGAACAAGGTCATGAAGAGTTATAGTTGGCTGCCTCCTACGTGTTTGTTGGTTTTTTCCTAAGTAGGTTATGGCAACAGAAGTGCTGAGTCACAGGAAACAATCCTGAGAAAATGTTTTCTGTAGCCTTATATTGTTCAGTACTTGTAAATAAAAAATAGTCTTATTTGAAAAGGATTTCAGTCATAAAACTGTATAATGCAGCAGTAATGGAAAGTAACCACAGATTATTGACAGGAAACTCTCTTAATTAAACTAGATTATTTTTAGCACAGAGAGGTGTTACCTCCACATATTTTCTCATGTACTCACAAGGCACTCCAGAATGTCTTCAGGTCATTCTGCTGTGGATAATGATGAAGACAGCTAGTGCAGTATTTCATCTCCTTGCTGACTCCATTGAGAAGTGAGTAGCTTGTATTCAGTATGAAGCAGAACTGATAATAGTGAACTCTGCTGTAATGGGATCATGGTAAAAGAGAAGGAAGTTTGACTCCTGTTCTACTGTGCCACTACAGAAACTGGTATAACCAGCAGGATTAACACTCACATAAACACTGAATTTCTCGGTGAACAGTCAGAGCTACCTAATGCACTTTAACCCAAGCGTTTATTTTAGTTTGACTTGATGTTTAGAGAGGAAGATACCAGTTGGGAAGAAACCTGTCAGTTTGTCCAGCCCACCCATGACAGGTGAGGTGCAGAGGAGCTTCTCTGGTGATGAAGAGTTGATTCCTCCTCCATATCGAACCCTTCCAGCAGAGACAGCCCCGGAGGCCTTCCAGCCTCCCAGGACTAGCCAAGAGTTCAGTCCCAGCCTCAAAACAGGTAACTAGCCACATCAGCCTCTGTTACTGCAGAGGGAAATGATGGACAGGGTGGGGAACTACCCATAGTCTAGCATGTAACATGCTGACTCATCAAATCTCTTTTTCCTTTTTGTTCTTTAAGTTTTGGTTGGTTTTTATTTTTTTCTGTTAGAGAGCCTCTCAATCTCACTGACACACCATGTCACTGAATTAATCATAGGAAGCTATTGCAGCTGGGTTAGAACTTCATAGCAGGTCATATTGCAGGTTGTTGAGGCACAGAGGAACTCTGCAGAGTTTTAAAATGCACTCTATAACTGAATGGTAGTGAGAATTTGGGAAAACTTGATGTAGGCAGGGAGTTAGCGTGGATTGTATTTTGCAGAGGAAATAACTGTAGACTGACTGCTTTTTGTTTTCATGTCAGAAAAGCAGTTATTTGGGAAGAGACCTTAAAAATGGAAGATGATTTGAAAAGTTGTGGGTTACTAATATAGGAAATACTTAGGAAGTAATTTGTCCTTTCAGATTTTGATCTTGTCATAAAACCTGGCTTCTTTTAAGTATCAACAGTGCAAGTGTGCATCTGTATGAGTAAGCAGAGAAAAACTCAAAAAAAAATTATTTATCAGTAATATTAAGTGGATTAAAGTTTTGGGTTTATTTAAGGATAGTTTATGTAACGTAATCAGTCCACTGCAAGGACCTGTTAGGGTTTTTGTCTCTTCCCTTTTCCTAACATATGGCAATAGGCTGTAGCAACTAAACAAATACATCTAACAAATGTGGTTTAGTGATGGGATCTGCTGGACAAATGAGATTATGTTCTCCCTGCAGGACAGTTACCAGGTTGATAGATTTAGCTTCATATTTGCTTGATTTACACTCCTGTAAACTTGCTAAAGTTCAAGGAGGCTGCCAGTATTGGCACTTCCCTTGGCTGTAGAGCAGTCAGAACAGTTCTTGTCCATCTGTGTCTGTTAACACACCGGGACACAGTAACCTGCTTGCCTTCTTTAAACCCTAAGGACAAATCTCGACTCTTCTCCGCACATCTCTCAATGCTTCTCAAGAACTTCATTTTTACTCCAGGTTGCTGCTCATGTACCTGTCCTTTAGCAAAGTCTTTGATGCAGAAGAGAAGCCTTGCTTAGGAGAGAATGTTCTGGAGCGCTTGTTTCTGCACAGCTTTTCTTCTCTTACTGCAAATCTGCACCAGTATTGCATTCATGTAGTGCACAGACACACAGTCTGAGTGTTCTGTGTCACTCAGTATCTGAGTTCCTATGAAACACCCCTATTCCTTTGTTTGTGACACCCAGTGCTTTCTATGATCATTTTGGGGTAACTTTTTAAAGTTCTGAATTTTGGTGAGGCTGGGAAAAATTACTTGTGTTATAGGCTTGTTATTATCCAAAGGTCTTTAAGTCTGGGGAAGAGGAGGCCATAACCCTGATATGGTATTATAAGTTAATGTATTTGAGATCAGCTGGAATGTATTAATTGCATAGGTAATCCTCAGCATCATGCACTGCCTCGTGTTTTAGTAGCCATAGAAAGGATGTAGGCACATTGCAGGAGATGTTTGATTTGGAGGATTTGGCTTTGAATGGAAGTACTGGAAGATTAGTAGCAAGAGGCATCTGCTGTAAAGCGTCTTGTCTCATGCTCATTAAAGAGCTCTTGCCTTTTGTACTGTCATAAGCACAGGAGGAGGTTTCGGTACTTCATCTTAGTAGTATGAAGTGGTTTTGCTCTGTTCCTTTGCATGCACGAGTACCTCTCATCTTTCAGTCATATGAAATGATCTTTTAAGCACTGAAATGCAACTGTTGTACTGCCTCACTTTTGAAAAGAGCCCATAGCCAGCCTGGCAGAGGAGGAGAGTGTTAGAAGAGACTCACCCTGCTTCTGCACATACTCTAGACCATGCTGCTCCATTCCATGTTGATGTTTGGGGGGTGAATGACATTGCATGAGACAGTCTTCCTCTATCTCCAGGCAAATCACTGCAACTGTTTAAAGGGGGGTACCTTGTGCAACTGCATTGCTTTTACTTACAACATGATCGGTCAGTTCACTTCCATTAGACTTTTTATTCTTTCAAGTAACTTTTGTTGTATAGCTGTAGTTAAGCTTTTCTCATAGAGGACTGTAGTTAAAAGCTATATAATAGGGACAAATGAAGCTAAGTGTTATTAAATATCTAAATGTAAGGATTTCAGTTCAGATTAGCCATAGGCAAGCCAAATTATGGAGACTGCTATTACTCTTGTACCTGCAGAAGCATTCTGCAAGTACTGGGGAGAGGAGAAAAAGAACATGCCTGGTGGAGGTTAGATTGTATCCCTGACCTCTGGGTAGCGTTTGCTTGAGGTATTAACAGCATATTCAAGTATCCCATTATGTGTCTTATTTAGACAGCATGTTTTTTTGCCCTCCACAGATCAAGATTCTTGATCAGAATTGGGTGTGATTCAAGGGAAAGTGTTCAGAAGAAGAAAAAAGGCAGCCAGAAACTGGGCTTTGTAGGTGGGAGGATTAAAGTAATATTAATAAAATTAATAATATTAAATTAATATTTTAATTTAATGTAGCACAAGAGTTTGTTTCCACAGGGAAGATGACATAGAAAAATAATAAAAGAACAATCAAATGGCTTTTAAGTTATTGCAGGGTTGCTAGTAGCAACTAGCTAGTAACTAACTAGTAGATTATGGGTTGGGTTTTTTTCCCCTCACTGCATATTTCTGCATTTTCACACACAGATAATGCATAGAAACTGTGTATTCAGAAGCTGTAATGTTCTTCTCATTCATTCAGTCAGAGAACCATTATTTGTTTATAACCAACCCTAACCCTTTAATGTGGGTACTGCACCTTTAATGAAAGACATAACATGTTTTATTTTGAGTGTTGCTTTCACTGTGTTCATATTTTGGTAATTGTCACTATTCATTAATGAAACTGGAAAAGTAATTATGACATTGCTATTCATAACATCTATTTTTATGTCTTAGATCTCATTTCTATTTAATTTGCACAAAAGAAGAGAGAAGATTGAAACTACAAAAAAAAATGTTTTGCTTGAATGAAACTTCTGGGATCTTAAAATGTTAATGATACATTGACAAAGATTTCATAATATATTTTCTTATCTCACTTAGACCACTGACAATAATTGAGCTAAGTAATGTGAGTTTAGATTGTATATGGCCAACAGTTAATCTTACTCTTACTTGTATAAAGACTAAATAGGAGGTAAACAGTAAAATAAGTGTCTGAGCAACATCGTTATTCCTGTGCTTCAACCAGTGTTTTAAAATACTGAATTCTGCAGAAAACCCTGTAGAGAATATATTACTGTATGTAGTTTGTTCAAATATGTTAATATTAGAGCATAACTTAATGTTTAATTTATGGTCAGAAAGCATCTGCTTTCAGTAGGATACTGAGTGTTAAAAGAAGAATGCAGAATATAAGGAAATGGGAAATCTGGGATCTGTTCCCAGTTTAAATAATATTACATAAATTTAAGGAAAATTTTACTTCCTTTAAAATTTATACATCTTTCATGTTCATCTTTAATTTTTAGTGACTTCATTGCAACTGAAGGAGGAGTTGCTAGACGGGGAAGAATACAGCTTCCTTCAAGGAGCATCTGATCAGGAAAGCAACGGATCTGCCAGTTACTACATCAAACAAGAACCATGAGGCAGCTCAGAGAAGTGAGGGGCAGAGAACTGGTGACAGGAAAAGCCTTTCTCCAAGCCTGACTGATTTTGCTCCCACTTGGAGGGTGCAGTTCAGGTGACTGTACCTGGGGCACTTTGCTAACTGTAGATGAGTTAGACTCAGTCCAGAACTTTTTTTGGAAGGGCGGGGAAACTATTTTAGTGAAAAAGATTTTTCAATTTATTAAAAAAACGGGATAAAAAGGACACTTTTGTGTTGTATTTGAAGCTTTTGAAAGAATTTTGTAATATTTTCAAGTTCAGATTTATTGTGCATTGTTAACAAGAACTGAAAATCTAATTTTTTGGTAAGATTAAAGTTTAATTAGCATGATTGTGGGAAGCGGTTGGAGGAAGCTATAGGTGCAAATACAAAAGAACTGTCATTACAAATGAACCTTTTTGGTACAAGTTGGGGAGACTTTTAGACTCTTGTGAACTGCACTGGTCACGCCTCTGTTTTTTTGGTTTATTTGGGTTTTTTAATTGTGAAAATAAGGCATTTAAGCCCTAATTTAGAGGCATAAATTGTTTGTGGAAGATAGTCATGTAAAGCTCTACTCAATGAGTAGCCCCAGTTGCAACGGAGCCATCGCCTGAGGATTTTAACTTTTCAAGATGTTTTTCTTTAGTTTAAAATACCTTTATATATATATATAAGATTTTTTGTGGTTTTAAGTTCCTTAGGGTCTGATTCAGTGCCCGTCAATATCAGTAGCCTTGTCTCCAATGACTGCAGTGGTCATTGGATTGGGACTATGAAGCTCTTCTCTGTACATGAATGTCTGTAGACTTGGAATGCTTCAGCAAATGTTTACAGAGCCCTATGCCAAACTGGAACTTCAGCAAATCCCCTTATTTGAAAGATTGATTTTAGCTATAAATTTAGACTAAAGAAGAAACTTAGACAAACAGTAGCTCAGGCCTCCCTTAGTCATGGGAAGGAACTTCTGAGTATTCCTTCTGATGTTTTTTCCCATTCAGAATAACCCAGCTGTTTCCTTACCATCTTACATGTTTATTTGTGAACATTCAAACCTGATGTTCCACGTGGTTTCAGGTGAGCTAAAAGGAGCCATACATTGTAGGTTAAAAAGAGTTCCGTTCCGCACAGCCTGCAATATTCCTTTCTTGCTGCAATAGCATAATATGGAAGGTGAGACTTGAGAACAGTATGTAAATCATATGCTGTCTAGTATATAATTCATAAACTGGATTTGCTTATTGCCTGGAATCCTTGTGTCTCACTTCTAGTATCCCATTAGCCCCACCTGCTTAACTGTCCAGGTTTTTTAAAGGCAATGTGAAAGGGTGGGAACAACTACCAGTATAATCCAGAGTATTTAGCATGAGCTCTTAGTTCGGATTCCATCCTTCCATGTTTTTTAACCTTTGTACTTTTTTGTAACTGATGTCATTCATGGTGTTGAATAACGAAATTGTTCAACCCTGCAGAGCTGTGACTGGGAAAATGTGCATCAAGAGCTTTAGCTTTTACCAGTAAGGTTCATTAACTAAACTCTCAGGAATTAACTGCGTATGTTCTACAAGTGCTTCTGGGTCTTCACAGGTCCCCCTTTCAGAGCAGTACAATGATCATCTGACTCTTGACCGTAAATTAGGGCTTAAAAGAGAAACTAATCAAAATGATTAACATCTGTGTTCCTACAGCCTAAGAAATGCTTTAAGGATATGAACCCACAGAGCCCCAGGAGACCATTTTTGTATATTGTTGTTTAAGCTTAAAAAACAAACCAAGTGCATAGAAAGTTGAAAACCAGCAATTTGATTATTTTCTAAAATATTGCTCTAACTTTGGGTACATAGTATTGGTGATATGCACAGGTTTACCTCATTCTATGCAAGAGGGGTTAATTATGTAAAGTTTTGTATTTACTACTGGAAGTAAAACTGTCCTGTATAGTGTAGGAATGTCTGGAATTCTTTTCTCCCTTACTGGTAACGTTTCTTAAATCATGACCCCTGTTTACCAACAGCTTCTTATATTGACAGAATCTGGTTATCCGATGATAAGTGTCTGTAACTTCAGATGGTGAAGACATTTTAGCTTTCTAAAATAGCCATAAAAAGGACTTTGTCCGGCTTGGTAGACTTCGAATATGTTATGTCAGCTTCTGACGTATCCACAGCTTTTCTTTTGAACAGCCTGGATTGGAGGAGTAGGATTAGAGACCATTGCAATGACACTTTGAGCCTTGACTAACTTCTTTTTCCCCCGTGTTCTCAATTTTAACCTACTTTACAATCCAGCTCTGCAAGCACTGACGTGGTTTGGTAAGTACCTCGCTATTGATTTTTATTGTTTATAATGCAGAGCCTTGCAGATTGTCCCAGTCAAGCTGAACCAAGGTTGGCACAATCTTGCTTTCTTCTCTCATCTTCTGACTTAAGTCAAAAAACTGTTGCATTAATTTGTGTTTTATTATGTGGAAGCTCAGGCTGCTAATAAGGTATATTGCCAAGTCTGTGAACCTTGGGCTTCTGTGTGTTGCCCAGGCTTGTACCTGACTTCTAAGTTACGGTTTTCAAATGTCAAGAGGGAAAACTAGCACTTACATTGAACACACTTCCTGTGTGGAGAAATGTTAAGAATCAGATTTGAAGTCTCTCAGTCTTTATAATGTTCTTTTAAAATGGGTATTTTATTCACTAAACACTAAAGGATGTGAGTTGAAGCATTTTCGGATACATGTGTAGCTTCAGTATGAGTTGGGTGAAATCTCTCATGTTTCTGAATTCCAGATGTACCTTAATTGTCAAGTACAGTGAAACCTGTCCAAAGCAAACCATGTAAAGAGCCAATTGAAGTCACTTCGGAGAGGATTAAGGAGAACCCAAGCAAAATTATGCTGGGTATTTAGAGTAGTCTCTTAAGGAGCAGGCAGCTGGCTGTGGTACCCACGGAGTAGGCTTCACTGTAGTCAGTAACATGGCTCTTGGTGTGTTTATCTTCACTTTAAGCCATGTGAGGTGGCTAGAAGAGCAGCCAAGCATTGGACATCTGAAATCTTCAGTGGGGTCAAACTGATTTCAGTATTGGGCACAGCTGGTGTTCATACGCCTACGGTAGTGCAAGTGGTAACTTACTTTGTGGCTACCCTTCTGTTACTGCTCGGAATCCTTCTGCTGGTCTTTGGGTTTTATGTTATTTTCAATACAGGTCTTTTAACCTTGCTGCATCTGAGGAAAGCTAAAGCAGTTACCGATTCCTTGTCCTACGGATACTAACACGGGTTTCAGTGTTTGTTTGGTTTTTTTATTGTTGTTTTTATGTGATGTGAATACCCTCTCCCGTCAATATTTGTACGATGGTGCTAATATATTTGGTAACAATCCTTTATTGGGAAGGGATTTTAAAAAAAACTGTGATTGAAACTGAATTTTTCTTCCTTTTCATATTTAACACAAAAAACCACAGCCATTTATACAAGCAAAAGGCATCAGCTTTGGCCCCTGGGAAAACGTTGGGGGCGGGAATCAAGATTAAATGGGATTTTTACATCATTTCTGTATGTATTTGATATATAGATCAATATCTGTACAAATTTAATCTTTTATTTTCTTGGTAATTTGTGTGGTCAATGAGAGAGTTATTTAAAGCTTTCTCATGCAGTGTACATAACTAAGTGAAAAAAATGCTTTTGGAGAAATTAATGTTCCTTTCATTTTTATGAGACTGCAGATTTTCAGCATGGATGTGAAAAGCATTAAAATTATAACTTTGTGTACAAGATGAAAATAATTCACTAAATTTGCCTTTTTTACACAAAATAAAAATGACAAAAAGTCTTTTGCTGAATAGTGATTTGTTTCGCTGTAGAATGCACCCCTTGGCATGTACATAAACACATTCCAGCTTGCTTTCTTTAGTGGCTTTAAACTGACAAGAAGGGGAGATTTGAGATGAGTTTATGCAGTTCTTCCCTGTGAGGGTGGTGAGGCACTGGTACAGGGTGTCCAGCAAAGCTGTGGCTGCCCTATCCCTGGCAGTGGACTCTTATTTCACAGTTGGTATTAATAGCTGTGTAGGAAGGGACATTTTTGTCATGGGGTAGCACTCATTTTTCTTCTAGTTCAGTTCTGCTGTGGTGGGAGTAGCTCGAGCATCCCTTCAGGCCTCCCTTTGCAAGCTGGCTTTGTGACTAATGTACTTTTGCAGCATTCAGAGCAACGGTGTAGTCAACAAAAGTCACTGGATTATTATTGATATGCCTATATGTGATAGACAGTTGGTGTTAACTAATCCTCCTACACAAGGCAAATACTGAACAACCAAGTCAGCTGTTTTATGTGGCCACCTGAACACAGCAGACTGTTTTACAGTGAACACACCACAACACAATTACTTCATATGAATTTATTTGACAGTGCTGAAAACGACTAAGATAACCGTGGTTGCTCCCAGGTAGTAGCTGGAATGAGATGATGCGTTTAGAAGGCACAAGTTACTGTGGCAACTCAATTCACTCATAGATCCAGTCATGTGCACAAGACTTGAAGTCAACGAGCTCTGCCGGTTTGAACCACAGGTTGATCTCCTTCTGCGCGCTCTCCACAGAGTCACTACCGTGAATGATGTTTCTGGGGAAGGAGAGAAGCACATTGTTCACATAAAAACGCACTTCATCAACCTAAGAAGTTCTTAAGCAAAACCATGAAGCATCTAGAGCTGCACGACTGCTACTGCAGGTACAATGCTCAGACACCCCCTCTGGAAATGCTACTGAAGCCTGGCAGGGTGACTACAGCTACTGTGCTACAACAGCCACTGCCGCCGACTGATCTTACACAAAGCTCTGATGAGGAGAGGCTGTTCAAAACAAATCAGTTTTGTGCCAAGCCATTTCCTTAAGTAGCAGTTAAGGGTTGCGACCTGTAAATAGAACACCATCAGACCAGGACAGCTACCCACAGTCTTGACTCTCTAGAATCAAAGACTACCACTGTGGAGTTGTTAATCTCTATTGGTAACAAGCTGAGCACAAACCTTCCTACTTGAATGCAGAAGTCACCACGGATGGTACCAGGCTTGGAGTCTGCAGGGTTTGTTTCCCCCAGCATCACTCTCCCAGTTTTAACCACATTGAGTCCTTCCCATACCTTAAATAAAAACAAACAAATCCCATTTAGCATTGCTTACACGAAATACCAAAGATTAAGCTTTGCTAATCACACACTTTGCACAGAAACAAGGGCTCTACCATGAAGAAAATTAACCCAGCCTAGAGCCTTTTCACTACCTAAATGGGCTGACAAGAGGGACTTTTTTTACAATGGCCTGTAGGGACATGAGATCTTAGGCAGAAGTTCTTCCCTGTGAGGGTGCTGAGGTGCTGGCACAGGGTGCCCAGAGAAGCTGTGGCTGCCCCATCCCTGGCAGTGTTCAAGGCCAGGTTGGACACAGGGGCTTGGAGCAAGCTGCTCTAGTGGAAGGTGTCCCTGCCTGCTCAGGGCAGGGGGTTGGAACTAGATTCTAGGATTCTCTCTTAGGCCTGTAACAACGACTTAAGAAAACACACAGGGACTGAAAGTGACTGTGAAAAGGACTTTCACCACTGTGACTCCAGCAAAGATGCTTCACCACACCTCAGTTAACTGATGTACAAGGCCAACTTCAAAACCCTTCTGTTGGCCAGGGTAAGGGCAGCCTGAGCAGGTGCTCCTCATCGGCTACAGTGAGAACTGGAGGAGAAGCTATTAGGGCAATTGTATTGTTTTGGGGGCAGTGCAGAAGAGTGACACAAAGATGGGTTTCTGACCCTTTTTTGCCAAAAACAGAAGATCATTTGGTGCATGCTAAGCATTTTAATGCGTACTTTATACATGCACACTTTCTTGTTAATACATAGTAACTTCCTATGTGCTTGTCTTCACTATTTTGCCACTACCAGAACTGTTCAGGGTGAGAAAGTGTTACTGCAACAGTATCTCTGAGTATTTTACATTTACAGAGCAAGATGAATAAGAATGTAGCCCTCAAGTAAAACAAAGCCACTTACCATGGCCACAACAGGTCCAGAGTTCATGTATTTAACCAAACCAGGGTAGAACGGTCTGTCTTTCAGGTCAATGTAATGTTGCTTCAGAAGGTCTTCAGAGGCCTTTAAAAGAGAAGTTGTAACATTATGTATCGTTCCACAAAAGGTATCACTGCTGCGAGACTACAGCATCAGAGATGGGATCCATCAGTCATTAACACTACCGGCAGCTGCTGCAATGCTGTTACGGGTTTCAATGGAAGTTCCTAATGTACAATCAGAGGAGAGCACAATGCACTATCGTCAGTGCTGTGCGGCGTCAAACTATTTGCATTACAGCAACCCTCCGAGCATCTGGATCTGTGGATGTCATTCCCCAACGCAGCCTTCCACTCAAGGTCACTTCCTCGCTCTCAGTTAGGTGCCATTAACCCATTTGAGCACAATTTGTCTGCTTGGGAAATGGCAGATACCAAACGTTCGTGCGCGACCCTCAGCTCGGCCTCACGGCTGAGGCAACCCCGGATCCCCGTTCTGATGCAGGAGGAGCCGGACACACGTGTGTGTGTGCGCGGATGCAAGCACCGCTTCGGGCAGGCGAGGGGCAGCGCCCGGCGCAGGGGACTTACGTGCACCAGCTTCATGGCCACGAGGCGGAAACCCTTCTGCTCGAACCGCTTGATGATCTCCCCCACCAGCCCGCGCTGGACGCCGTCGGGTTTGATGGCGATGAAGGTGCGCTCGTTGTTGGCCGCCATCGCGCTGCGGGGCACAGGGGAGCGATCGGCCTCAAGGTCGGCGGGACCCGGAGCCCGCCCCGCCCGCGCACACGTGGCACCGGGATCGCGGCGTGCCCCGTCCCGTCCCGTCCCGTCCACCCCCTCCCGGGCCCCGCTCCCGCCCGGCCCCGCCGCTGGCCGGGACGAGGCCCGCAGGCCGCTGCCGCCGCGCCCGGCACTACGGAAGCCCGCCTGCCTTAAGGCGCAGGCCGCTGGCGAGGCCCGCACCCCTCACGGAGCGGACTGGAGCCCGGAGGCCCGGGCCTCGCCTCGCCTCACCTCTCTGGAGCTCCCGCAGCCGCTGCTTTCCCCACCGCAGCCGCCGAAGGAAGAGGAGGAGGCGGCTGCGGGCGGTCTCCGGATCCCCCGCCCTGCGCAGAGGAGGAGCCGCCGGGCCTGCGGCGCTTGGGGGCGGGCCTGCCCGGGCTGGGGGCTCGCTTCGGCGCTCGCCCGCCCACTCCCGCCAGAGCGGGGCCTGGGGCTGGTCTGGACCGAGCTGGGGCTGGTGGCGGCCGCTGAGCCCTGGCCGGGGCCCCGCCTGGCAGGCGGCCGGGCCGTGTGTGCCAAGCGGCACCTGTCGCGTTGGAGGGGGATTCGCTTGCAGCTGCAGCGCTGGGGCCATCGTTGTTCTCTGCAGTGCCCGCACTGAGGACGTTTGGTTGCGCTAAATCAGGTTTGGCTCGCAGGGTCCTGCTTTGCCGTTCTCAGAGGCAGCCCCACGGGCTGCTGACCCAGCAGCACCCTCACAGCTGCGGGAAATGGTGTCCTCGCAGAACAGGGGTGCTGGAGCTGTAAGCCACGCGAGTTACCGGTGGTTCTGTGGGCATGCGGGGACATGAAGCTGCGAAGTGTCAAAATGCAGGTGTAAAATTGCACAGCCCCTGGCCTTGCGTGGTAGCAACAGTGAGAAGAGTGGAGCTACTGTTCATTATGTTTACTATGTGGCCTTTTACTAATCCACAGCTTGAGCTGGTTATGATCGCGTGCCACAGGTGCAGCACTAGTGCCTTACCCTGTGCGGCACTTGTGCAGTCACAGGACACTTGGTGAAACTGGATGTGCTCACTGCGCATGAGGATGTGGGCACTGACCCACACTGCAGATGAGGAGTGTGGGCACTGACCTCCTCTCAGTCCCAACCCATGACACTCAGCAGCCGCTTTCTGTTGCTCTCCAGATAACCCAGATTTCTCCATTTTGTAGTAAGCAGATCAAGAAAAAGAAATCTCAAGTAATCCTTTGAGCAAAAGGGGGACTGGAGACTCATCTCGTGCACAGGTTTGTTTCAGCTTCCCTTTTCTCCATCAGCTTTTAACTTAGTTATGTATCTTCTGTAACACTGAATATTTTCAGAAGAGAAGCTACAACTTCACCTACAGTTTGGTAGTCAGGGAATTGTTCCCTCTCTTTATAGTCACTGATTAGACCTAAAACAGTACCATGAAAATTTCCTTTTATTTCACTTAAGAAACAGCGAATGTTGTTTTGTTATGCACCGTCTCTTTTTAGGAGCTAGGTATCTTCATCAAGTATCACAAGCATCGAATTCAGCATTCGTTACACAGCTCAGTATCTGACAACTCACTGTAGGAAAAAACATGTAGGAGTTTGGACAGCTGATTTAATGAAACTCTCTTGCTTTTATTGAATACAAGGTTGCAGGTAGATAAATACATCATGTTGACCCCAACACATTTCTTGTTCCTTATCCAGTGAGTATTTGTTGTGAAAAGTTCTGCCAGAGGTTGATGATGTTTTCTGATAGGAGCAGACGCCTCTACTGCAATACATTCAGCATTATTACAACTCTGTTTCTTTACATGAATGGATAAATTACAAAAACTAATTCTAAAGTCACTTCTGAAATACCTTATCCAAAAGCAGCTTTGTAATTCCAACTAAGAGCACAAATAACATAGCTCAGTTATCAGCTGTTCAGTCAGTAAAGCAAACCACACCGTTGCCAGAGGACTGCTAGAGTAAAGTGCTTGAAGGTAGATCTGCTTCATCCATCCTCACATTAATCTTCTTTTCACATAAAAGGGCATTTAGGAAGCTTGGCCGATTAATCCTCCCCTAAAATGCTAAATAAATCCCATGTGGGGGAACCAAAGCCAGTTAAAAGGGTGTCAATCCCAAGGAAAATTCTCATTTTACTCAAAGCTCTGCTCTGTGTATGGGCACAGCACACTGCAGAGAAATACATACCCTTTCTTCTGCAGTGTATTGGGCACGGGGAGCCACTTCACTTGATATCAAGTTCAATCTGCAACATTTGGGCACGTTATCAATATATTACTAGTTGTCCCCTAACAATTTAACAATGTAAACCTTTGACACTGATCCATTTGCATATTTATTTACCCAATAAATTATTACCTTTTTTTTTCCTATTTACCAAAATACCCCTTTTGTCTACAGAGTATTTTTGAAAAAAAAACACATGTATTATATGCTCTGTGTTTTAATATCACACCTCTCACCCTCAGAAGCATCTTTTTCAAAGTATATTTCCATCTCTAACCTGGCAGCTTTTTAACCAAAGCAGCAGCAAACACTGGCTATATTTAATATTCACAACCAAGCGATCTCGCAGGTTTCTGAGGCAGGTTTCTACCCGTGTATATGAGGGGCTCTGCAGTAGCTACAGGCTGGCAGCTCCTCACAGGCAGTGAGGATATCAGCAGGAGCAGCCTTGGTTTTATTCATAGATCCATTCATGAGCACAGCTTCGGTAATCAACCAGTTCCTCAGGAGCAAACCATAAATTGATCTCTGTCTCAGCACTTTCAACAGAATCACTTCCATGAATGATGTTCCTAGGAAAAGAAAAGGTGGGTATAAAAGTAACATAATCCTCAAGTGCAAAACAAAGTAAGCATCTTTTTTTGAAGAGGTATCCATTGTGGAGAGAAGTTTTAAGTAAGTGTAAAGTAGTAGTGAGGACAGAGCATGCAGTCCCAGCTTTGCTCATCATTTTTGTCAAGAGGGGAGACCAGAATTCAATTTCCATCCTTAGGTAATAACATTACATGGGCAGAGGGAACGGGAGCTCCTTCCGTAAGACAGAGAAGGATGGAACACAGTTCCTACATGCATCATGACATACCACTGGACACATTCAGTGTCTTTAGATGATATCAATCATTGCAAAACATACCTTCCAACCTGAACACAGAGGTCACCACGGATAGTGCCAGGCTTTGAATCGAATGGATTAGTTTCCCCCAGCATCACTCTTCCTGTCTTAATCACATTAAGACCTTCCCACACCTTAAAGAAAATATCAATTGAGATCAGTAGATGAAGAGTTAATCAAACCCTCCCCGATGACACAATGCTGTCCATCACAGCACAGATACCATCTGAATATTTGTAATAACAAGACATACTTTATCTCTGATTTTCCATCAGCTTTTTGAAGTGTCTACTGAAGTTCTCCCCTCCCGCACAAAACCTTTTCCCACTGAGGGTGGGAAGAGAATGATTTTAAATCTCAGTATGGTAAATGGCCTCACAGTGCTGCTCGCTGAAGGTCTAGATCTCCAGCTTAACTATGTTACAAATACACTATCAAGGAGAAAAAAAGAAAACCCTTCTAATAAAGCCAGATAGAAAAAAACTTTCAAAGTTGCTGTCACTTAGGAGTACAGTAAATCTATTCTGCCATTGTTTTTCAGCTTGCTTAATGCATGGCATTTCACAGTGGGGTTTTGTGCAGGTTTACTGTCTCTCAGTGTCCCCACTTTTGTCCCACCTTTACCCTTGCCCTCCTCCTCAACATAGTGACCCAGAGCAGAAAAAGCTTATGAAAAAGGATTAAAGGAGTTAACATCTCATCTTCCCAATGACAGTATTTGAGTGGGGATTTTTAAGTCCTTTAAACAGAAATAAACCAGAATTACGCAAGTAAGACAACATTACTGCAGGTACAACAATTAAATAGTATATTTTTCTTAGCTGAGCTTCGTTCTCAAGAACTCACCATGGCTACCACAGGGCCGGAGTGCATGTACTGCACCAGGCCATCGTAGAATGGCCGGTCCTTCAGGTCAATGTAGTGCTCCCTCAGAAGTTCTTCAGAGGCCTGCATTAAAAACCAGCCAACCATCAAAAAACGCTTACTGTAAGAACTTAAGAGCATGCTAAAATCACACAGATTAACCACAGAGCATGGCTAATCCTGAAACTTGCATGCACTTGAAAATGCAGCATTTCTGGTATCTTCCTAGAAGTACTTCTGGTCACTATGGATTTGATCAGTTTGCTTCAGCCACAGCTCAACTTAGAAGAGTATCTTTCACCAACACAGACTACTTCTGTGAGCTGGTATTTGTTAAAGCTATTCAGAGACATTTATTAGGTATAGGATGCCCCTAAAAGAATATTCTCTTCTGACTAAGGACATCAGGTTACTAAAATTAGCGTGCTTAGCACGTCTAAAGCATTTAGCCAGAGCTGGGAATTGGAACTGTTCCAAAACCATTCAGGTTTAATTGTTCTGTAGACTACATCTGCCATTACAACATGCTGCTCTGGTGTAAGGGTGCAGTTGGTATGCAAAAGGAGATGTACAAATGCAGGAAAGCTTACGTGTATTAATTTCATGGCCACCAGTTTGAAGCCTTTCTGTTCAAACCGCTTGATGATCTCTCCCACCAGACCCCTCTGGACCCCATCAGGCTTGATGGCAATGAAGGTGCGCTCGGTGATAGAAGCCATCGTCCTAATGAGAAAGGGAATAAAAGGTGTTATTCCAGGATCAGCAAGCAAATACAGTCACAGCCCTGTGTCCTGCATAGCATCAGCTCTCGTTAGAACCATACTGTCTGCATCTGAAGGTCAGTAACCCGGGATCTGCACCGGTTTGACAGTCACTCACTCTGCGTGGGTTTACACAAGTGCTACGCAAGGAAGTTTAAAACGATGACAGTGTGGCAAGCCTGCAATTAGCAAGTATTAAAGCAGAATGTATGGTAAGGACTGTCACAGATAGAGCTCCAAGTGCCGCCCGGGACGCTCTCACCTGCGATTTCAGGCAAAGGAGGTTGAATAAGTCCCTATGTGTAACTTTGATGTGTAAAGCGATGGGTCAGTTTTGAACACGGTTTCTCTGCATGTGTGTGTCTGTAGGTAGGGATGTATCCGCTGTGTGTGTGGGGGTATGCGCGTGTAGGTCCCCCCACCCGTGTGCGCAGGTAAGGCACAGGAGCTCGGGGAAGCCCTCCCGAGGGGCCCGCAGGGGACGCGGTCAGTGACCGGGCGCAGACCAGCGCTGCCCGCACCGCCCCTGTGCCCCACGGAGCCGCGGGGGGGGGAGGATTCCGGGCCCGGCCGAGCCCCACCGCCCCTCTTCCCCCCGCCCCGTCCCGCCGCCCGTCTCACCTGCAGCGGGCCCCGGCTGGCTCTGTGGGCCCGGCGCTGCCGCCGCTACCGGCTTAGCCCGGAGCCACCCCCGCCGCAAGCCGAGCCGGCCGGTTGCCATGGTGACAGCGCGGCCTCCCGCCTGCAGGGGGCACCAGGCCGGGGCCCCGGGTGTCGCCGCTCCAGCCGCCCGGCTCTCACCGTGCTCCGCAGGCCTGGTGTGCAGCCCGCGGCCCGGAGCGGTCGCTGCCGGGAGTCGAACCCCTCCGGCGGGTACTGAAGGTGCGGGTGCCCGGCAGAGGCGTTTGTAGGCGTTGCAGCGTTAGCTGCTGGGTTTCAGTCCTTATTTCACAGAAGGCGCTTACAGTTATGTTAATAAACCCCTGATTTTGCTCTGCTTTCCTTAAGTGTCCGCTTTAAAGAAGGCAGTTGGGTTTGGCTTGTGGTTGGTTTTCTTGTTTGGTTGTTTTGGGTTTTTTTTTCTGGTTATACTGTATTAGCTCTCCGAGTCAAAAGGCCCTTCAGCAATTTACCACTCAATCGTTTTGCCCTGAGCATTTTATTCCCTTTGGAGAGAGCCCAGGATAAAACATCCGGATCCCCAGTTCTTGCATTCACAGCGTGTGCTGCTGGGAGGAAATCTGAGCTGCTCCTGGGTTTGTTTCTCCAAATGGGATGAATTCCGTGGGCTCCACTCCATGTCCCTTCGTGAAAGGAAGATAATGTGGATTTCACTTCCCTCTGGGCAGGACTTACAAGGGATAAGTTTAGCATTTTGATAGGGTGGATTTCCTTCCTTGGGATCCCTTCGCCTCAATCCTATACACATCCATGTCTCAGTTCTAGTTCTGATGGGAGAATCTGGATCTGACACAGCATCTATTCAGATAACATTTACTAGTATTTGGGGGTCTTTTTTTCCCCCAGGTATCATCATGCTCCAATGTACTCATTTTCTCATGGTCTCTGATTCAATGTAAGATGTTTAAAACCCCCACATCATTGCAAATCACCCCCACAGCATTGTACATTCCAGCAAGTTGTGTCCCGTCCCGTTCCCCCCCCCCCCAAGTCATTTTGGATTTGAAGTTTCTCTCTGGATAATGTCAACCCACTATAGTCTGTTGTATCGATACCCATTTATTTAACCTATTTCACACTACTAAACCAAACATTAATGCTGTAATCCTCACTAAGGCAAAATAATCTTTAACAATAGAAAAAGTCTCTAGAAACAGGATGCTTAGAAAAATAATCACTTAAAAGCAGCAATAGGACATCTATTTACAGCCTTGGTAAAACTATGTCATTTAACGATTACAGCTTAGGACCTGCCAGAAGGTGGGCAAGCACTGTCTGCAGCTTTCCCATAGATCTGCTCTGTGATCTTTGCCAAGTCTTTTAACCTCATTAAATAAGGGTCATCTTTGGCACTTTTGAGATTAATCCACGATTAGCAGAGCATGTCGTGCATTGCGCAGTACACGAAACACCGCAGAAGTGTTTCCTTGTTAGTGTTAACTGTATAAATGAGCAGTTTTTGCTGGTTGAAAATTCTACCAATATTACTAAATTACATTGAAAATCCCATATTTAGCTAAAATGCAAAGAAGGAGACAGTCTAGCCAAGTAACTTCCTAAAAGCAGACCATGGGGAGAGAAAGCAAAGACCTTCAGAGAGTTCAGTGAGTGAACTAAGTATAATGACGGAGCTCAAGGCATTTACATATTACTTGAAATCAGTAGAGATTTTTAAAGCCGGCCTGAGGCAAAAGGCTGTGAATGTCTCTGAAGGTCAGCAGAATTCCAACAAAGCTCCTGGCTCTGCTGTTGTGGCTGATCGCAGCTCACAGCCCCTATCTGTACCACTCACAGCATTTGAGGAGTACTCACTGGGACTCAGTTTGTGCTGTGCACTGCTTGCTCCTCATAACCACACTCATAAGTCTGATGTCTTTTGTTGCTCGTGGTTATACTACTCTTCCCTTAGTGCAGCATTGCTATTATTTATCTGCTTTTAGCTTGATTTCTGTTGTGCTTTAAGGTATAAAGCACCACAGAATTAAGCTCTTACAAAGATTTCTTCATCTGGGTAATGTCCCAGTGAAGCTCTTCTCACCCCATCCTGATCCAAGGGGTAGTTTCCTTCCCTAGTAAATTGCAAACCAATTTACTTTTGAACAAACTGGTATTTCTAAGAATAAGGAATATAACTTTTCTTGTTAACCAGAAAAATAATTTCTTTCATAGGCAGTTCTTTCTCCAAGAGTATAATGACATTTTACTCCAGTAGTTACCACAGCCAGCCACTGCTTTCAAGCTACAAAACCTATAGTATCAGGTTTCTTCGTGCTGTTTCATATGCTTGATTAGTTTACTAACTTGACAGGTCATCATCAAGGTCCTTTAATCTCCTGGCAAGCAACTAGGGTATCATTCTGTAACCTGTCCTATTTTTAGTCCATCCCCGAGTTTCTGGTCTCACACTGACTGTGAGGTGCACATCATAAAACACAATCACAATGGAAAGACTATTAATAAGATATATATTTACACCACTTAAATTTGTCTCCCAGGTAATTTTTCTGTTGTTCATCTTTTGAAATACTTCATTTATCCATGTTAGAACCCCCCCAGCTGACTAGAAATAAAATGTGAGCACAAATGGCTCTTTTCTACTTGTACTCATCAGTCTGATTGCAACTCTAATGGCAACAGCCTGCCTGTTTCATGACAGACTTGCTCCAGCTGTGAAAGAAAACCACATCTATCCATTTTGCTAATAGAAACAGGACAAAAATAGCATATCCTCAGAGACCCCGTCCCTTACAGGCTGTCGGCAGACACCTTGACCCATTTCTGCCATCTGTCAGAGCGGATGTCTTCTGAGCTGATGCACTTGTGCAATTTGCCCAGTGTGATGGCAATAACTGTAAAACTCTACATAGGGAAAAGGATCTCTGCTGCAATTCAAGATGATTGGTGTTTGCATCCCCACAGTAATCTGCAGCTGCTTAGAGCTGTCCTCACATTATGGGGTATTCCACATGAATAGCATGGTGAGCTCAAGGTTAAAAGTCCACTGCAATTAGCTACGGGCTGGTAGCCTTGTCCTGGGAGCAGAACTGAGTTACCTCTGGGCTTCGGCTGTTTGCAGGCTTCCTACAGGATTTATTCATGCTCAGGTAAAAAACCACAAGTCAACAACCCCCACCCCAAAGGCGCTCAGTGTCCTCCGCGATACAAACAACTGCAGTGAAGGGAAATGATGTATGATTTCAAGGGAGAGAGGAATTCTGAGCTTCCCTCAGCACTTCTGCAGCAAGTAAAGACTCTAATCTGTAGTAGACAGCAGGCAAACAAGGAGAAGTTGCAGTTTTCCACAGCGGATAACTGCTGAAGAAAAATAGTAAAAAAAAATTGTCTTTTCATAGGGATCATTTCCAGTAATTTAAATGAAAATTGCACTTGAGGAAATGAGAGTAGGAAATTACACACTGTATCTTTTTAAACTTATTTTTTAGCTAAAATGATTTAACAATTCAAGGGCAATCAGCTTTTCTTTTCTTTTGCCATATTTAGAAATAAATGTGTACTTTAACTGCCTATGCCCTGGCTTCACTATGTTAAACATTAGCTTAGGAGGATGGTGTCTAAACAGAACTTCCAAGAAATCCAATATATGGGGCTGGACTCTTTTCTTCTTCCTCATTATTCCTGTGCAGGTCCACTAGCTTAGTGCATAAGAAGACAACAGAGCATACATGTTTAAAGCATTGTTACTTGTCTTAGAATCAGTCCACGTGAGAGCAAACACAGTGCTAACCTCTAGTGCTCTCCAGTGGAAAACAATGCCATCACCTCAAAGTTCACCACTTCTCATTGCTTTATTCAGTGCTGCCATCGGGTTCCTTAACTCCCTTGTACACAAAATACTCCTACTTAATGAAAAATAGTGATTTTCCCAATTAGGAATTGTGTCCTAAAGGTTGTGCCAGGGGAGGTTTAGGTTGGATATTGGGAAAAATGAAGGGCTGTCAAGCACTGGATCAGGCTGCCCAGGGAAGTGCTGGAGTCACCATCCCTGGAGGTGTTTAAAAGACTGATGTGTAGATGTGGCACTGAGGGATGTGATTTAGTGGTAGACTGGGCAGTGCTGGGTTAACGGTTGGACTCGAGGATCCTAAAGGTTTCCTTTTCCTAAAGGATTCTATGATAAAAGTAAGGGATGTGAAGCAGCGCTGAAGCTTTTCAATCTCAGAAGGTGTTTTCAACTTTACTATGAATGTCTAGAATAGCTCATACCATTCCCATGACAAAGCACATGATCCAGAATGCACTTCACTGTCCCAAATCCCTGGAAAACCAATCTTAGTAACTGCAAGATGCTTTCTAAGCCGTGTTATTGCAAATAAACCAGGATTCCTGATACCTGGAGACCTTATCAGAAATAAGGGTTCCTTTCGCTGTCAGATGAGCCAGCACAGCAACCCAGGAGGGGTTTGGGAGCCGCCAAGTCCTGAACCCTGGGTTTAGCACCGTCAGTCATTCCCACATGAGTCACTCCATCTGTTTATGCCTCTGTGGGTGCAGCAAGTAAGTAACGGCGCTTCCCGGGAGCTGTCAGTAGCACCTCCTCACATCTTCCGTTCAGAGATGAAGGTTTAATCACGCGGCCCCCCGGGTCGGAGCTCGGCCTCCCGCTCCACAACCCAACACCCTAACGCCGCACTCCGTGCCAGCAGAGCTCCGCCCCACACCGGGCGCATCGCCTATGGCTCCGGTGCTCCCACCCCGGCCCTGCGGAACCCGATGGAGGACGCGGCGGCACCAGGACCCCTCCATCCCCGCAGCCGCCGCCATGGCCCCACCCGCCCGGCGCGGCCCCGCCTCTCCCGCCTGACGCGCGCCCCGCCCCGGCGCGGCGGGTGAGGTCAGTGCCGTGCGCCGCCGCTGTCCGCCCCCCGGGCTGCAGGCGAGGCCCCGCCGCAGAGGCAGGAGGAGCCGCCGGGAGCGCGCTGAGCTGCTGCCGCCCCGCCGGGCCCCGCGAGGGAAGGCGCTCGCCGGCAGCCATGGAGCTGGCGGACGGCGTGGTTTACCAGGAGGACCCCGGCGGCCCCGGCCCCGCCATGATGTCGGAGAGGGTGTCGGGGCTGGCGGGCTCCATCTACCGCG